CAACTTTTGTAAAGGAAAATCTTTGATTGCGGTTAACTTACAGTTTATTAGGTTTACTCCATTATCATCATGGCAGAGAGCATGGTGACACATGGGCAGACAAGATGCTGGAAAGTAGGAGAGAGTTCTAGATCCAGATCCACCAGCAGTAGGAAGAAAGCCACTGGGCCTGGTTTGGCTTTCCGAAACCTCAAAGCTCACCCAGTGACATACTTCCTTCAACAAGGGCACACTTCCTAATCCTTTCAAACAGTGCCATTCCCTAAGCATTCAAACACCTGCGCCTGTAGGGGCTATTTTTTTTTTCAGTGAAAATTAGAGCCCAGCTTGTCATAATTGGTGATCTCCCTCCACCAGGTGGCTTGCAAGTACTGAACCTAAGTCCTGCAGCCTAAGGGCGAGCAGGTGTCCTACTTCCTGATACTTTACTGGCCTACACGTTGTCTTTTAAAATTGGATTATTTCGAGACAAATACTGAATATTTTTGCTACTGTGTGGATTCCAGATTTCAGTTTCTTTCTTTGCACGTATATACGTTTGGAGAGAGTATGTGTGGAGGACAAGAAACTAGAAGGGTGAACATGAGAAAAATGAAAGGCTTCGGGAGAACTGAAAAGAGGGAAATATGATATATGTGACATGAAGTTGGGAAGGGTAGTACTAGGAATGTGGGTGGAAATGGTGTGAGCATTTCCTAACCAAGGATTTAAGAAAGAGAATTACTTCTATTTTCCTGCCTTTCCCCATTTTTCTGGACTAATGGAGGTCATGATGAGGTTAGGTAATAAGAAACACCCCCCCCCAAAAAAAACCACAAAAACAAAACAGGAATATGGACTGACTTCTCACGCTTTATATTTTGAGACGTAAAGTTTGGCATTCCATTCATTTATATTACTTTCTTTAAATGTGTGCATTTACAATATCTTGTCCACACAAAGCTGGTTAACTCCCCTCCTCAGCTCCTATAATTGTAAACGTTTCAAGGAGTATTTCCCATGTTCAGAATTTCAGTGATTTTTGCCATGGTTCTTGCAGCTGCTGCTGCCATTCTTAGCTTTATATTGCCAGGCGCTTAAGTGTCTCCATCTGTTCCCTTGCATTTCCCCAAACAACACCCTATACAGAATCTAGATGGTGTCAAAACTAAGTAATAGCCAAAACTTTAAGCCATGTTGGATAATAGGATGTTTTCCTTTGTGTAGGACACACTTTGTCCTTATGTCAGTAACACAGTGGTGTGCTTTAAAGTTTATTTGGAAATAATTGCTTCTGAGATCACTTAGAAACATGCCTTTGTTATGACAAATGCATAGTGGAGGACATGTGCTGAACACAGGACAAAGAAAATTCCTAATTACAGTGTTGCTGTTAGAGCAGCTGTACTTCCTGAAGATAAACCATGGCCTAAGGACATTGTTCCTAGCTCTTTTTTCCCAATTCACACCATTTTTCTTTTTTTAAAAAAATTTATTTATTCATTATGGATACAATATTCTGTGTGTATGTCTACAGGCCAGAAGACGGCACCAGACCTCATTACAGATGGTTGTGAGCCACCATGTGGTTGCTGGGAATTGAACTCAGGACCTTTGGAAGAGCAGACAGTGCTCTTAATCACTGAGCCATCTCTCCAGCCCACCATTTTTCTTCTTATTCTCCTTCTCTGTCTATTATTTGAGATAGAAAATCGTACTATGTAACCTTGGCTGGTCAGACTGGTCTTGAACATTGAACTTGTGGTGATTCTACTGTCTCTGCCCTCTACCCCAAGTTCTGAGGTTATAGGTATGTATATAACCTGATTTGATATAACCTGAAAATATTCCTAGATGTGGCCTCTCCCAGTTCTGTAAATGTACCATCTCAAGTAGTAGAAACAGTCCAAGATACTGCCCAGAGCATCTCTTTCCCGCATTAGAAGTACATATTTTGGGGGGTATTTCACTCAATTTTATTTACTTTGTCTTGACTAGAGAGATTCCATTTCCTGTGTACAATAGATTAGCTGTTCATCAGTATAAGAAAGTACCTATGGTAATCAACTTATAAAGAGAAAAGGGGCGCCGGGCAGTGGTGGCGCACGCCTTTAATCCCAGCACTAGGGAGGCAGAGGCAGGCGGATCTCTGTGAGTTCGAGACCAGTCTGGACTACAAGAGCTAGTTCCAGGACAGGCTCCAAAGCCACAGAGAAACTCTGTCTTGGAAAAAAACCAAAAAAAAAAAAGAGAGAAAAGGGATTTTGGCTCACATTTTGGGGGGGTTTTAGTCCATGATCCAGTGACTGCAGCAAGATCATGGCACACACAGCAGAACAAAACTTCTCAGTGCCCACCTATCAAGATAAATGAAAAGGAATACACAGAATTTTGGGGAATATCCATAAATCTAACTGTAGCATGAAGCTTCTGGAGTCCAGGTAAAGAAAAATCCATTTTAAGAACACACAGAACTTGGCCCAATCTAATCTAAAAGAGAGTTTGTTAAAGAAGGCTTAACTGGGGGACTTGGAGGTCAGTAGGGCAGCAAGTTGACCTCAGTCTTTAGAAGCAGTTCCTTGAGAGGTACAAGAGGAGATACTGTGAGCCATAATGGCAGTAAATATGCCACTGTGCAAGTTCATGAGCAAACACAAGAGGCAAAGGAGACGAGGAAGAGAAAAGTGAGGGAGGTGCTGGAAGGGAGCACAGCTGCCTCTTTGTCCCAGGGTTAATGCTTGTAACTTGTTTCTGAATTTTATATTTCACAGACAAGTCCAGGTTGCACAGAAAATAAAGATGCTGGATGGTAGAACATTGTTGGACGTTGGACTTGAATGTATTTTTGGAGGAAGTAAATCATGTCTAGCACTCATAATATAGGTCAGCATCTTAGTTCAAGATGATATTGAATCAATAGATCAATACATAAAAGGCTTTCCATAGGGCCCTTTTAAGATCAATAATTGTTAGCCATTCAATGGCTTTAGTTTGTAAATGAATTGACAGGAGATTATCCAACAGATTTTCAACTTTTGCTAGAACCAATCCTATCAGTAAGTAAATGGGTAAAAAGATACTGGTACTTGGGGTTAGGGGCATGGTTGCTCACACATATAATCCCCTCTGACATCTGAAACAGAATTGTAAGTCTGAGGATAGCTTGGGCTGCATGGTAAACCTAAGGTCAGCCTGGGCAACTTGCTGAGACCCATTTCCCAGTACAATGTTTAAGCAGTGCTATGGATAGAACTCACTGCCAGATTGCTTATCTAGCATGCTCAAGAACTTGAGTTCAATCCTCAGGAGCACCACAGCAACAAGAAAGGACAATAAACCTACACCTATGTGAGCCAATTTTGTACTGGGGTTATTTTAGTTATCTTTGTGAAACAGGATTGGTGTTAATGCCCATGAAAAGTCAGACATAATGGGAATTCTTCCAGGGCATTGATGCGCAGTAAAGACAGTTAAGGGGAGGGGGGTGTTGGACATTATGAATAAGGATGGCGTATATATTTTGTTCCTGCTATCACAATCACTATAAATTTAGTGGCTTAAAATGAGACAGACAATATTATATAGCCTTGGATGCAGAAAGGGCCTTACTATACTAAATCAAACAGCTCCTTTCTTTCAGGGATGTCTATGGAAGAATATCTTTTATAGCTTCTGCGGACAACCTGCATTCCATGGGTTCTGGCTTCTTTCCCTCTTCAAAGGCAACAATGGTTTTGTTTTGCTTTACCAGTGCTGCTTTCCTGAGACATAAACTCTTAGGCCTTTGCCCGTCATACCTAAGTACCCTTGCAGTTACATTAGCTAGAATGATCTAGCATAATTTTTTGCTAAATTCCACTGTTAACAACCTTAGTTCTACCTGAACCTCAATTCTCCTTGATCCAATAACATGTTTACGTATCCTGGGTATGGACTTCGGGTTGTGGCTCTGTGAAACACTGGGTAGCTGCTTAAATGAATTTCTAAATGGACAAGTCCAACAGCTTCAGTGTGTGCTTAATGCAACTGCGTTTTCCCCACAAAGGTAGAATGAAAAGCACACTTTAACAGGCGCATGCGCCACCCACCTCCCCAGGCACCCCCCCCACACTCCCCACACACACAAATACACCACACACATATACACCACACACAAACACACACACTGTGACAGAAAGAATTATCTGTTGGTGCAAACCGGTGGTCGATTTAGAAGGCCAGGCATAGTGTGGTCTTCCCTTTAGAATGGGGTAGTTGAGGAGGGGGAGATGTAACAGAAGCCCCCACTTCAGATCTCTTAGAGACAGAAGAGCCCCCCCTCCTCTTCATGGCTGCATGAACCAGTGAGAAAAACATGGGAGAACCAACAGGAACAACCTACTGGCTGTCTGTTGCTAGGTCACCTGTCCCCTCTCAGGCTGCAGTACTGAGTCCCCCCCCCCCCACTTCCACTGGCGTCATATGAGTGGGTAGAGGGGGGAAGCAGGGAGGGGCAGGCAATGTCCAGCCTCGTTTTGAAGTGCTGATGTACCTAGGGGCCCACTCAGTATCCCTCCGCTGCCTCCTGCTCCCCAACTCCAGNGGAACTGAAGCACAGCCTAAGTGGAGTGCTGGGAGGGACAGGAACTGTCCAGCTCCCTGTTGGAGTGCAGGAGCACTCAGTATCCCTCCGCTGCTTCCTCTTGCTCCCCAACTCCAGACATCCTTTCTTATAGCCCCCCACTCCAAAGCCCTCATAGACCCTAGCTCTCAGGCATCCCCCACCCTGGAGTGGCACCAGAAAAGTGGTGGTGGTCTCTGGTTAGGGTGAGCAGGGGGCTGCAGGAGCTCACTGTGCGACCCACCCCCTCCCCAGGGGAGCTGGGCTGCGTGCTGCCCCGCCCTCTCGGAGTCGGAACTACGGTGGGCCAGGGAGGGGGCGTCGAGCCCGTGCGCCATATCCCTCCGCCCCCTTCCCGACACCCTCGAGGCGAGCTGTGCCTGCCGCATCCTGCGCAACAGCCCCTGCCCGTTTGCTGCAGAGGCGTGGGGGCGGGACGCGTCTCTGCCATTCCACTCGCGCGCAAAGCGCCGAGAGCCCAGAGAGAGAGGAGCTGCGGAGGACTGAGCACAGCCGAGAGCAGACGAGCAGACGGGGGACGCGGCGAAGCCCGCAGACCTGGGCCGTGCGCCTGGCCAGGCAAGTGGGGGTGTGTCGAGGGCTCGGGGCGGCCGCGCTCTGCGGACCACCGCCCGGCCCTGACAGTGCAGTGGGGGCGAGCGGGTCGCGGGGGCTCCCCGGAGTGGTGCGCGGTTCCCGGAGATCCTAGGTGGGAGGAGGAAGCGGGAACCCCGCTCAGGCTGCGGGCCTAGGGGGCGGCTGGAGCGGCTTGCTGTGAGGGTCTGGAGGCTGGCGGGGTAGACAGCCTAGCAGTTGGCTTCCCAGGGCTCGTGCCCCGCCCTCCACGGTGTCTGGACCCTGCAGAGATTACCGAATAGGCAGGTGTGGGAAAAATAACGGTGCGATATTGGGGTAGGGGATCGCCCCGGACCCCACGGGCTCTGGAGAGGCTGCTGCGGGAGTTGGGGGAGGGGGGCGGGAGCCCGCGGGTGTGGGGGCGGGAGCCCGCGGGTGTGGGGGCGGGAGCCCGCGGGTGTGGGTGCGGGGCTGGTGTCCATCTCTGGGGCCAGCTCAGCTGGTGGGGGTGGTGAGTTGCCTAGGCTACCAGGGCGCTCATCTGTTTCCGGAGAGGGACCCTTGTACCCTGCGCCCTGGGTGCTGTCCCTTCCCACAGGCTCCTGCTTGATGGCAAAGTCTCCTGTCTGCGCGGTAGGTCTGGCGTGTTCTGACAGGCCACAGTGAGCATCTGTAGACCAGAGGCTTGAGGAAAGAGGAACAAGAAAATGGCGTGGATTTCTGGAGGTGTGTGGCCATGGGAGTGGGCACCAGACTGTGAGTGGAGATGCGAAAAATGGTGGGGGTGACAGATCAGACAGGTGGGATATCCATTAGTGTCTCCTAATCTCATTTCTCACAGCCTTTCAGGTACTTTCCCCAATGCCCTTCCCCTCCCTCCCGAATTTGGGGTCTGAAAAGATGGTTTGGGGATGATGACGGAGTCATAAATCCAAGGACCACTTCAGAACCTGCTTTCTAGAATGTGCTGCGCCCTTCCCCCATTTTTTGCTGCGCAAGAAAAGGAAATGTGGCCACCTAGTGGTGAATCTTGAGAATGGCAGGACTAATGATTATGACATCAGGAAGTGGGTGTTATCTCAGGAACCCTGCAGTCAGGCAAAATAAAACTAGAATGTTCCAGCAGTAGGACCCTAAATGATGAAAGACACACAGTCTTCTCCTTTGTCGTGTTCTTCTCAAGAAGATCTGCTGCTGCCATCATTTCCCGATTGCCTAGCGTTTTTTCCTCTTTGTCCACAGGCCTGCTTTAAGTCTGGTCAGCTCTGCAAGAAAGAGAAAAGCATTGAAGAGAGCATCTCAAGATCTCTGGAGGTTGGTAAGAATCTGGGCAATGAAAGGCCTAGGTACTGAGAAGGCAGATGCAGATTGCTGTAACCTAAGAGGGAGCATGATGTCTTTGCTGTCCCCTAAATCTGCGCACAGCTTCTACCATCATCTCCTGATTGTCTTACATTTTCCTCTTTGTCCACAGGCCTGCTTTAAGTCTTGTCAGCTCTGTTAGAAAGAAAACAGTCATCGAGGAGACTGTCTCGGATCTCTGGAGGTTGGTGAGAATGGGGAGCAGTGGAGGACCCAGGAACTAATAAGGAGGCAGATGCAGACTGCTGTAACCCAAGAGGATGCATGATGTCTTTGCTGTCCCCTAAATTTGCCCACAGCTGCTACCATCATCTCCTGATTGTCTTACGTTTTCCTCTTTGTCCACAGGCCTGCTTTAAGTCTTGTCAGCTCTGTTAGAAAGAAAACAGTCATCGAGGAGACTGTCTTGGATCTCTGGAGGTTGGTGAGAATGGGGAGCAGTGGAGGACCCAGGAACTAATAAGGAGGCAGATGCAGACTGCTGTAGCCTAAGAGGATGCATGATGTCTTTCCTGGACCCTAAATTTGCTCACTGCCACAGCATCCTTTGTTTCCTTTCAGAGCTACTAGGAATGTTGAGGTAGATGTGAATTAGACTATGATCCACAGGACAAGACATGAGAGCTGGGACCAGGTAACAGGAACTTTAGGCAGAAAGCAGGCCTAGTTTTGTTGTTGGATTGGGCTCAGAGATGTGTGCCCTCGTAGCAGGCACCGAGCCTCCATTTTCTTTTATGTATTTGTAGGACTCCCTGCCGCCAGCTGTTGATCTTAACACCACCTGGACATAGAAGAGAGGAGGGAATTGCACCACATCGGTGAAGGTGGGTATGGGAGAGGGTTCACATTTAGATGAGGGCAGTAGAGATCGGCAAGACTGACTACTGAGAGATTGGGGCTCCCCTCTGTCTTCATTTCTAGCGTGTGCACTGTCTCCTCAACCCTGCGCCTGTGTTCCAGCAGGCAAGAGGAACATAGAGGTTTTCTCCTAGCTGAGATTTTCCTCTCAGCATCATTCACCAGTGTCTCTGTGTAAGTTTCTCCAGGAGGCAAGCGAACTGTATAGGACTGACTTGCTCTTTTTTCTCTTCCTAGATCACCTACAGTGGCTGCTTGGTGATTCTGCGCTTGCTGCTGACCAGTGCAATCAACAGGTCTGCGCCCACCTAGGACCTGTCCATCTTCCTCCGGCTTGGTTTCACCTCTTCTGCACTGTATCTGTGTTATTGACTGAGACTGCTTGGGTAGGAGCCTCCTTGAGTGCTGGATTGTCATTCCAGTCTGGTTCTTTTCAATCTCGTAGCCTAACTTACCAAAGAGTGTTGTGAAGATTAATCCTGTAACATATCTCTAGTGAAGGGTTACTGCTGTTGATCGGTGTACATCAGGGCTTTATCGAACATATACCATGACTAGGGCAGAGATTGAGTCTGGTGCCCAGGCAAAGGCTGAAAGGAAGCCTGGGGATGAGAATGCCAATGCCAACAATAACAGTGTTGCAGGGGTAGAGAATGAAGTCCCGTTGGTGGTCAGACCCAAGGTTAGAACACAGATAATGCCTGGAGCACGGCCTAAAGTGAAGCCTAAGAATACTCCTGGAGCAAGACCTAGGAGTGAAGTCAGTTCACCAGGCGGGGCTTACGCTAAATGCAAACCCAAGGCAATCCCTATTTCACGGTCGAAGAATGATGCTCAAGTATGGGCCCCAAGTAAGTTTCGGGCAGAGCCCATGTCAAGGATGGGCAAGCAATGTCAGATCAGTAGTGCAGACTCTCCACTGGTCAGTACTGATTCTGGGGCTGTTGCTCAAGCTAAGTGCCTGTCTGTAGATAGAGAACTTGGTAATATGGACACTGAGAGTTTTCCCAAAAAGGCTCATCCTCAAGCAGGATTCCAGCCTTCCTATGGCTCAGAAGAGGGAACCAGTATGGGATCCTGGTACCGTACCAGGCCTATCCCCAAAGGAGAGGCTCATGAGAATTCTGAATTCAGATGGGCAGATAAACCTTCAGGAATGTCCTCTTTCTGGAACAGAGATGAAACTAGTGCAAGATTTCGTCCTAGGAAAAACATGAAGGCCAATAATAACAGGTTCAGGCACATGGCCAAACAAGAGGCAAATACTATGCCTAGACACAAAAACAAACAAGAGCTCTGTAATATTTCTAGCTCTGATTCTGAGGATGAGTCTGCTAAGACTCCCTGGTTCTGGGCCAAAGAAAAGCCTAAAGTCTGGTCTAGGCCCAAAGAAGAGCCCAATAGGTCCTGGTTTAGGCCAAGGAAAGAAATTCGTGTTGAATCCACCTCTGGATCTGAATGTGAAAATCATGCAAAATCTTTGCTATGGTCTGGAGAAGAGGCCAAATCTCGATCCAAACCCAGAGCCAGGAAAGGGGTCAATATGAGGGCCAGGCACCAGGCCAAGCGAGAAGCTTGCAGTGATGTCCTGTCTGGATCTCTAGATACAAATAAAAAAGAGTCCTGGTTCATGCCTGAAGAGAAGGCTAATGCCTTTTCAAAGTCTAAGACAAAGAAAGAGCCCAAAACCAGAGCAGTGCCAAAGGAAGAAGTGAAAACCAAGGCCAAAGCAAATCCCAAACAAGAAGCCAGACCAGAGGAGGAAGTTTTCATTGCGGCTTGGTTCTGGGATACCCAGGAGTCCAGGAAGGTAGATAGGGTGAGCACTAAGGCCAGCCTGTATGTAGAGGAGGAGCCCTTTGTTGGAGATTGGTTCTGGAGTGAAGAAGAAGCCAGTGTGGACTCTGAAACCTGTCTTAAATCCAGACCAAGGGATAAGGAGGAACAAGTTAATAGTTTCTCTCTGGGTTCTGAGAAGAAGAGCAGTATGGAAAACGGACCTAAGGGTACCTCTAAGCCTATACCAGTAGCTAATGAGGAGGATAACATTGTTGGGTCCTGGTTCTGGGCTGATGATGAAGATGTCAACTTACAGGCTGACGATGAGTCCATTTTTGGATCTTGGTTCTGGGGCGTTGGTGAGAACAGCTTGAGATCTGTTGGAGTCAGTTGTGAGAAGATGCCAAAGCCTGAGGAAAAAGAAGGTACCGATTCCTGGTTCTGGGCTGGAGAAGTCAATACAGAGGCTAAGGTTGAAGAACAGGCCAGGCCAGCATCTACAAAAGGGACAATCTTTGTGCCTTGGTTTTGGTCTGAAAAGCGGGGACATGTGGATTTAGGGACTGAACCTTGTTCTGACATCATGGCAGGAGCTGAGGATGAGCCCATCATTGGGCCCTGGTTCTGGGCTAAAGTAGACAATAGTGTGGAGGCTGAAGTTAATAGTAAGTCTAGCCTGGAGGATGAGGAAGAGCCCATTATATCACCTTGGTTTGGGGCCAGAGAACAAGCCAATATGAAGTACGCAGCTGATAGCAAATACAAGCCTGTGGCAGAAGCTAAGGACAATAATAAAAGGTCTTGCTTCTGGGCAAAAGAGCCCAGTTTGTGTCCTACCAATAGAGAAAGCTTGAAGTCTACTCTGAGAGAGCAAGAGGACACTGTTGATTCATGGCTCTGGTCCAATAATTATCCAAAGACGGAGGCCGTTGCAGGGTCCTGGTTATGGGCTGCAGAAGAGGGAAATATAGATGATGAGACTGGAGAACAGATCAAGCTACCAACTTTAGAGGACAACACATTCAATTCTTGGTTCTGGAAGGAAAATGAAGAAACCATTGTAGAGGCTACTACCAGAGAGGAAGCCAAGCCAGAAGCTGAAGAACAAGACATCATTGGCTCTTGGTTTTGGGCTGGGGATGAGGACAAATTTCAGCCAGCTCCTGAGATTAATGAAGAGAGCAAGGTAGCATCCGAAGAGGAAGAAGAAACAATTGGATCCTGGTTCTGGGGCAAGGAAGAGGCCAGTCTAGATGCAAAGAGGAGGGGTGCTTTTGAGTCCACTCCTGGAATTAAGGAGGAGAAAATTATTGGGTCATGGTTCTGGGCTCAAGAAGCCAAAATAGGGGCTGGGTCGCAGACAGTCGAAACTGGGTCAGAAACTGAAGAGGAGGCAATTTTTGAGTCTCTAATGTGGGCTGCAAAAAATGGCAATACAGGAGCAGGTGTAAACCGTGTGTCCAAGCCAGAGGGTGAGGGCAAAATGATTGTTGGGTCCCGTTTCTGGTCTAGTGACAAGGGCACTGGAGAATCTGAAACTGCGATCAGTGGGTCCAATCCAGAAAATGAGCAAGGGCCAAAAGATGAGGTGATTAACAAGGTTGACAGTGGAGATAACTGTGGAATTAATACAGAAGCTGAAACCATGGTGGGATCCTGGTTCTGGGAAGGGGATGAAACTAGTTTTGAATCAAATCCTACCCCTGTGTTCAAGGTCATTTGCCAGCCTAAGTCTTCAGCTGAGAAGGAACCTGATCCTTCCCGCAGACCCCAGAGCTGGGACGAGGTCACTGTTCAGTTTAAGCCTGGTCCATGGGGAAAGGCTGGCTTCCCATCCATAAGCCCCTTCAGATTCCCCAAAGAAGCAGCATCTCTGTTTGCTGAAATGTTTGGGGGAAAACCTAAGACAGAAGGAGAGCAGGAATCTCCAGATGAGCCTGTACCTGAGTTCCCATTTCAGTATGATCCCAATTACCGATCAGTCCAGGAGATTCGCGAGCACCTTAAGGCCAAGGAGAGTGTGCAGCCTGAGAGCTGGTCTTGTAGCTGCATACAGTGTGATCTTAGAATTGACTCTGAGGAGTTTGAGGAACTTCTTTTATTAATGGACAGAAACCGAGACCCTTTTATCCATGAAATCTCTAAGATTGCAATGGGCATGAGAAGCGCTTCTCAGTTTACTCGTGATTTCATTAGAAACTCGGGCGTTATCGCACTGATTGAAGCCTTACTTAACAATCCACCTACCCGTGTCAGGACAAGGTTTTTGGAAAATATGGTTAGCATGGCTCCACCATATCCAGATCTAAACATGATTCAGACATACGTGTGTCATATTTGTGAGGATACCTTTGATTATGAGTTAAATTCCTCTGACCAGTTGTCTGGGCTGACAATGATTACACACCTCACTGCTACTTCTGACTATCACAAAGTGGTTGCCAATTATTTGTCTGGGTTTTTCTACTTACTGAATTCAGGAGATACCAAAATAAGGCTTCAGGTTCTGAAACTGCTCCTGAATTTGTCTGAAAGCATTCTCATGACAAAACGCTTACTGTCTACTGAGTCCATGTCAGAATTTATGACCCTCTTTAGTAAGGAGGACTCAAGTGAGAACATTCAACTGGTTCTTGCGATATTTGACAATATGAGCAAAAACATACAAAAAGAAGAACTATTCGATGATGATGATGATGATGATGATGATGTGGTGGTGAATCTTGACCCACTTATTTCTGCATTCCAAGAGATTGAAATTTATGCTAGGACCCTGAAGCGCAAACCTGACAATTAAAAATCACCCTGAAGCAGAGCAAGAGAAATTAATATGCTTAACCATTTGCTTATGTTCCTGAGTGTTCCTTGTGTTCCTGAGTCAAGTGCTCCCAAAATAATGCTTTTGCTTCACAGCTGATTCTGTGTTTCAGTGTACCTCTTTAATGGTGGTGATAAATTTACCCAACTCTGTGTAACTGTATCACTTTTCTGATGCCAAATGAATATACAACTGAAAACACACTTGTTGATGATACTTGTTTCTTGATTGTGATGTTCAATATGTGAGTTTAAAGTAGACTGAGCCATTGTAAATAAGATGCCCTTCTAATTGTTCTTGTGTATACCTATTTGGGTCTTGTGCTTCAATAAAGTTCTATGTTAAAGTTAGCAGGATTTTTGCCTTCACTATAAGGTACAGATGCACAGATGAACATGCACATGCACACAGGTAATGTGTGAGTAATGTGTCTGTTACAGAAGCTTTTTCTCAGCATTGACTCTCAGAGGTTGGAATGGACTGCACCTCGGAGCTGACTTTGGAGAGGACTCACTTTAAGTTATACTCTAACACAGCTTATGATGAGGAGAAAGGCATGGAGTAGGGAAAGTTTCTATACATATCCAATTTCCTGGATTAGGTGGGAGGAGTATGAATTGAAAAACTATATTGAAAATGAGGTAAATTTTGAAGAGCAAGTAGGCCTTTGCTGTTCAAAATACTATGTTCAGAATTTAATCTCTCATTTCAAAGGATAGCTTAGCCAGACTAGTTTTTATTTTCTGATGAGCCAGTGAGTTTAATTAAGGTTACTTATGGGAGCTTGGGCAACTTTGCCGTGGTTACAACATGGATAAGAATGCTTCTCGTGGCCCCAGTGACTATTAACTGCCTATATAAACCCATACAGAGCTGGGGGCTTGTTCTTCCCCACAAGCAATCATTAATTTCCTAAATCCTCAGGGGAGGGCAAGGCCTTAACAGGAATACCCCTTTAGAATAAAATGTCAAAGGCCCAATCTTGTGCAAGTGACCACAACTTCTGAGAGTTCCAGAGTGCTATAGTTCTATCCTGCCCAGAAGATAGCATTTCACAACACCCCCTCCTCCAGCTTTTACATTCTTCTTGTCCCCTTTTATATGGTATTTTCTAAGCTTTGGATGGGGTGTTATAGATGTCCCATTTAGGGACAGACAGTGACATTCTCAGCACTATAATCAGTTATGAATCTCCGCAGGAACTGCTGCTGTTCAAACCAAAGCTGATGTGCTTGCTGTGTCTGCAAGTCTCCGGGAACTTGACTGGAGTGGCGAGGATGTGAAGAAAGGACAAACGTGAGTATAGGAAAAACCTGGAATCAGGCACATCGTGCTTGCTCTAATGGAGTAGCTCCAGCACCCCAGAAGCTTGGTGTGTTTATTACAGTTGAATAGGAAGGAGGATTACTGACTACAGGTGAATAAGGAGGTGAGGTTACTACATAACAAGAGTCGGGATTATTCTGTCTAACTGAACAAAGTTTAGCCAATCTTAAAAGGAGCAGTCTCTGTAAGGGAGACCTTTCTCTGTCATAAAGACTGCATTAAGTTCTGTTAAACACAAAAGAAGAGGTGAGAACAGAGCATCCAGGTGCTTATAAAGGCAAGAAAAAAATGCCAATAAAGGGTTTTGGGCAATGTATGGTGTTTTTCATGCCATATATACACTCCACAGCATACCATAGTTTCACTAAGAAGAAACGTAATAAAAGGCTCTGCTTTCAGAACAGAGTGGGAACAAAGGAGTAGATAGTATACTTAATGGAAGCTGCCTAAGGGACTATTTTCTCCTTCACCTGACTTGAAGCTCTCTGACTTTATGAATAGACAGGCAGGAGACAAAATCCAGGAGCTACTGAAAACTACCACTGCGTCCGAGAGATACAGTACTACAGGTAGACACTAGAGGGAGCCAAAGAACAGAGATGGTCCTGGAACATCTACTCAGGTTGACTGGTAAAGCCTCTTCATTTGCACATAGTTAGGACACAAAGACCGAGCGTTGATTGCTTTTTTAAATTTCAAATGAATGTCCAAATCCAAGTAACATAGCCCAAATCAAAGGGAAAAGACATAAAACGTTTGGGATACATATTCATGGAAAAACCATTTTTCTGTGGTTTTACAGCCACTGGCATGGGCTGGAGCTAACCTGACTGGAGAGTCACCACCCTAAGGGCTACATTTTCCTTTCTTTTCTCCTGTTGGACTTTCCCTGAACCCCCCTCTTGGGCTGCTGCCAAACTAGGTAGCTGCCTTGAAATCCATTCCAGCTTTTATTGCTGTTCTATGCAGCAGCAATAAGCCCCCACATTGGGCACCATTGTGTAGCACAAGTCCTAATAGGTCTTAATAATAAAAGTTCAGAGTCAGATATAGGGGGAAATGCTGAGAAATCAGAGAGACGAAGGAACCAAACCACGGGCCATCTTACTTCTCCACTTCCCAGCCAAAAAGTGACTGGGTTCCTGTTTGCTCTTGCCTTATCACCTCCTCTCTCTGCCCAGCCATATTACTTCCTGTCTGTCAGTACAGACCTCCAGACCTCTATGGTTAGCTATTGGTTAATTCCACCCTCTGATCTTTAGGCAAGCTTTATTTATTTATTTATTTATTTTTTTTTTAAATATAATTTTTTTATTGAAAAAAAAAAAGATTTCCGCCTCCTCCCCGCCTCCCATTTCCCTCCCCGTCTCCCTTTTCCCCCCTCCTCCCTCTCCTCTCCCCCTCCCCCCCACTCCTCTCCCCCTCCCTCTCAAGTCTGAGGGGCAGTCAGGGTTCCCTGCCCTGTGGAAAGTCCAAAGTCCTCCCCGCTCCATCTTGGTCTAGGAAGGTGGACATCCAAACTGGCTAGGCTCCCCCAAAGCCAGAACATGAAGTAGGATCAAAACCCAGTGGCATTGTCCTTGGCTTCTCAGCAGCCCTCATTGTCCGCCATATTCAGAGAGTCCGGTTTTATCCCATGGTTTTTCAGTCGTAGTCCAGCTGGCCTTGGTGAGCTCACAATAGATCAGCCCCACTGTCTCCGTGGGTGGGTGCACCCCTCGTGGTCCTGACTTCTTTTTTTTTCTTTCTTTCTTTATTTATTTATTAAATATTTCAGTCTCTTCCCCACCTCCGCCTCCCCTTTCCCTCCCCCTCCCCCAATCCATTCCCCCTCCCTCGTCAGCCCAAAGAGCAATCAGGGCTCTCCGTCCCGTGGGAAGTCCGAGGAAAACCCTCCTCCGTCCAGGTCTCGTAAGGTGAGCATCCAAACTGCCTAGGCTCCCACAAAGCCACTACATGCAGTAGGATCAAAGACCCATTGCCATTGTTCTTGATGTCTCAGTAGTCCTCATTGTCCGCTATGTTCAGTGAGACCGGTTTTAACCCAGGCTTTTTCAGACCCAGGTCAGCTGGCCTTGGTGAGTTCCCGATAGAGCATCTCCATTGTCTCAGTGTGTGGGTGCACCCCTCGCGGTCCTGAGTTCCTTGCTCATGTTCGCTCTCCTTCTGCTCCTGATTTGGACCTTGAGATTTCAGTCCGGTGCTCCAATGTGGGTCTCTGTCTCTGTCTCCTTTCATCGCCTGATGAAGGTTAATATTCAGGAGGATGCCTATATGTTTTTCTTTGGGTTCTCCTTCTTCTTTAGCTTCTCTAAGAACCCGAATTGTAGGCTCAATGTCCTTTATTTATGGCTAGAAACCAAATATGAGTGAGAACATCCCATGTTCCTCTTTTTGGGTCTGGCTTACCTCACTCAGGATAGTGTTTTCTATTTCCATCCATTTGCCTGCAAACTTCAAGAAGTCCTTGTTTTTTACTGCTGAGTAGTACTCTAATATGTATATATTCCATACTTTCTTCATCCATTCTTCAATTGAGGGGCATCTAGGTTGTTTCCAGGTTCTGGCTATTACAAACAATGCTGCTATGAACATAGTAGAGCATATATTTTTGTTGCATGATAAGGCCTCTCTTGGGTATATTCCCAAGAGTGGTATTGCTGGGTCCATGGGTAGGTTGATCCCAAATTTTCTGAGAAACCGCCACACTGCTTTCCAGAGTGGTTGTACAAGTTTGCATTCCCACCAGCAATGGATAAGTGTACCCCTTTCTCCACAACCTCTCCAGCATAGGCTATGATTGGTGTTTTTGATTTTAGCCATTCTGACAGGTGTAAGATGGTATCTTAAAGTTGTCTTGATTTGCATTTCCCTGATCGCTAAGGAAGTTGAGCATGACCTTAGGTGTCTTTTGGCCATTTGAACTTCTTCTGTTGAGAGATCTCTGTTCAGCTCAGTGCCCCATTTTATAATTGGGTTGATTAGCCTTTTACAGTCTAGTTTCTTAAGTTCTTTATATATTTTGGAGATCAGACCTTTGTCAGTTGCGGGGTTGGTGAAGATCTTCTCCCAGTCAGTGGGTTGCCTTTCTGTCTTAGCGACAGTGTCCTTTGCTTTACAGAAGCTTCTCAGTCTCATGAGGTCCCATTTATTCAATGAGGCCCTTACTGTCTGTGCTGCTGATGTTATACGTAGGAAGCGGTCTCCTGTGCCCACTTGTTGTAGTGTAGTTCCCACTTTCTCTCCTATCAGGTTCAGTGTGTTCAGACTGATATTGAGGTCTTTAATCCACTTGGACTTGAGTTTTGTGCATGGTGACAGACATGGATCTATTTTCATTTTTGTACAGATTGAAATCCAGTTTTGCCAGCACAGGCAAGCTTTATTTAAACAAATAAGATACTAATGGGAGATCATTGATTCCAGACTGACAAATGGGGAACCTGCAGAGGACCAAACTAGGCCCCTTGAATACAGGTGACAATGGTGTGGCTTGGGCAGTATGTGGAGCCACTGGCAGTGGGAGCAGGTTCTAACTCTAATGCATGAACTGACTTTGTGGAGCCCATTCTCTATGGAGAGATACCTTGTCAGCCTAGGCATGGGGGTAGGGAGGGCCTTGATCCTGCTTCAAGGAGGTGATGGGACAGACTTAGTTGACTTCCCAAGGGAGGCCTTACCCTGTCTAAGGAGCAGATGGGGATGGGGTGGGGGGAATAGTGGAGCAGGAAGAGAAGAGAGAAGGGAAACTGAGATTGTTATGTAAAATATAAAAATATAAAAAAAAACAAAATTTAAAAAACTACAAAAGCAACCATCAAATATCTGATTATCTGGCAAATAAACATGAATACAATACGAATTTAATCAGGAAAGTGATGAATGGATGAAAAATGTGAATATCAGCAAAGAAATAAAAACTGTAGTAAAGAACTGAGACGAAATTATGGAGCCAATAAATACTATTCATGAACTGAAAGTTCTCAAGAGGAATTCAGTAGGAAGCTTAAGCAGGCAGAAGAGATAAATCTACAAACTTGAAGACAGGTCATTTGAAATCATAATGTCAGAGAGGTAAAAAGAAAAGAAAGGAAATAGATATATGCACTATCAATGTCTAACAAAGAAAGAGAAGGGAGACTAATCATTTGCTTAATAAAATAATGAATAAAAAGTTTCTAAATCTTAGGTAAGAAATTGGCATGTAAATTCAATAATCCAAAACTCCAACTATATAAACCAAATGAAAGCAACAGGAAACTTTTGTCTAAACTCAAAGACAAAGAATAGAAAACCACAAAAGACAAATGACTGGTCATACATATACCATAGCGCTTCCATAAAATTATGAGTGGACTTCTCAACAGGAACTATGTTGGTCAGGAAATAGAAGACATATTCAAGTGGCTGAAGGAAAAATTTAGCAATTAAGAAATTTGACTATCAAAACAGTCTTTGGGGCCAGGTGGCTGTGGCTCAGATCTTTAATCTCAGCACTGCTTGGAAGGCAGAGGCAGGCAGATCTCTGTGTATTCAAGGTCAACCTTATCTACAGAGTGAGTTTTAGGACAGTCAGAGCTACATAGAGACACCCTGTCTCAAACAAACAAGCACCAGTCTTTGGAAAGATGAAGGAGAGAATGGATTTTCCCAGACAAATCTACAACAGTTTATTTCCACTGAATCTTCTCACAAGAAATGAAAGGACCACAGGCAGCAATACCAAGATACATAAAAATGAAATTTTCTGTAGTGCAAACTTTGTAAAAAGTCTCCAGTAAAGTTCATAGACAGATACAGTTATCTGTGTTAGTGTGACTTTGGAACTGTAATTTAAGTAACAGTCAGAGAATATATTTGTTTAGTGACTGTGCAACAGGTAATATAAAAAAAGGGAAGAGAGCTGTGAGGAAGTAGCACTTTTAGATGAAAATGAAGTTAAGTTTTCATTGCAGTGATACACTGTTAATTTCAGTATTAATTAGCAAGGACACATCTGAAAGGAAACAAGAAGGAACACTAAAGCCTGTGAAGAAAATGCAGAGAACAGTAAGAAAAAGGAAACAATATCTTTTTCTATTCTTAATAAAGTAGACTAAACTATTCATCAAAGCACATAGATTGGCTAGACAGATTTTTTTAAATGGAGTCTAATAATGGTTCATATACAAGAAAATTCAATCAAGAAAAACAGATTAAAAGTGAAAGGATGGTGATGATATAGAACATAATGTTTGTACTAACATCAGACAAGCTTTAACTCATGAGCAATGAAATAAAGAAGGACATTATATATAATAATAGAATTAAATCAAAATTAACAAACATTAAATATGTTCTATTCTTAACAGCTCTTATGTGGTACTTTTTTTCATTGCATAATAGCACTGGTACACTTCGGCAGCAAACTTTAAACTCATGAAAAATAAAGGTATAAAAATCAGAAAAGTAAAGGAATTGGAGCATGATATAAAACACTAAACATGACAGGCATGCATGTCACATGAACCTCAACAGTAGCACAATATACGTTTTCAGCATATACTAGGAATAAAGTCTACAAATTCAAGAAGATTGAAATCATACAAAGTATCTTTTCTGATTATACTATAATGAAACTGCAAACAGACAGAAACTGAAAATTTCACTAACAAACTAAAATTAACACACTCTCAAAACAACAACAAAAAACAAAGAAATCTCATAGTTAATTAAAGAATGCCTTACAAGAATCAAAACAATCAAAATACACCAAAGGTTATGGGATGGAGCAAAACCATTTTTAACCTGTAAATGCTTATGCCAAAAAAGAAAAATCACTAATCAACAACTTAACTTTATATCTAAAGAAACTAGAAAAAATTAAACCCCATAGAAAAATAATAAATTATATCACAGATAACTGGATTATAGAAAAAACTAATAGAAGACAAAGGAAAGAAGACTTTTAGAAAACATCAACAAAACTGTCAAACAGAACAAAGATTCAAGTAACTAAGAAATTAAGAAAATGTTAATTTCATCATGTAAGAATTAAGAACCATTATCATATATTTTTAGCCTAATTTAAAGTTAGTTTTAATTAAGTACTGTCCAGGATCATGGGCCCTGGCCAGGTCCATTCCAGAGTTCCCAGAAAATGGCAATGAGATACATTTTGCCAAGGCTTATAAAGGCAAATCCACAAGGAAAAGTATTTCCTTCCAGGTCCAATCAGAGGCAAGCATGTGTCTGATGTACTTCATGCCTCCATACCTCCTGTCTATATCCAATCAGGGGCAAGCATATATCCTGATGTACTTTCTGCCTATGTATCTTTCACACACACATGATCAAGCACTTGCTGTGCAGTAGGGTCAAACAAATTTGCTTAGGGGAACAAAAACATGAGGGTTGTTACCTTACATAAATAACCTCCAACAATTCAGAAAGTATCTGTCCTTGGGCCAGAGGTTATACAGATATATTTTATTTTATGGTTTTCTCAGGCATGGTAATTAAAAGTTAACATAACTTTTGTTCTCACAAAACATTGCAACCAACAACATAGAGAAAGGGTTTTTTCAACCCTACTATGAAGAGTTATGCTCAAAAAGAGTAGATAGGCTTTGAAGAATTGACAAATTAGTAGAAATACAATCAAAACTGAAAAAGAAATAGAGGGTCTGGACAGATGGTTAGTGGTTTAAGTGAAACATATCCTCTACAGGCTAAGATATTTATTTGAACACTTGATTCCCAGTTGGTGGCCCTGGTTGGGGAGGTCGTGGACTGTTTGGAACTTGGAGCTTTGCTGGACAAAGGACAGCACTGGGGACAGGCTTTGAGAATTTATACTCTCACACCAGTCAGTTCACTATATTTATTGCTTGTAGTTGAAGAAGGTGTGATGTCTTAGCTTTATGCTCTGGCTAGCTGCTGCCATGCCTTCCCCAACATTATGAACTCTCCCTCTGGTACCACTAATCCAATAAGCTCTTTTTTCCATAAGTTGCTTTTGGTCCTGATATTTTGTAACAGTCACAAAAACTAACTAATCTAAAAGTTGTTGGTACCATAAAGTAGGGTATTGATGTAAATAATTTAATTGTGTTGTTTTTTTTGGGGGGGGAGACTTCGGAACTTCAGACTAGAAAAGCAGTTGAACAACTGTAAACAAAGTGTAAAGGGCTATTAAGAAAAACTTGAATGTGAAAGTGGTGAACTTGGGATGGTGGAGACCTCAGAATAGTGAAATAGTCAACTGAAGAAAGCTGCATGTGCAGTGGAGAGAGAGACTATGCATGGTACAGGCACAGTGGAGAGAGATAGACTATGCATGGTACAGGCACAGTGGAGAGATAGACTATGCATGGTACAGGCAGAATAACTACAGCAGTAGTTATATCCAAGGCTATTGGAGCTCAAATAATGTTACTGATATCTCCAAATGCTGCAAATCAGTCTGTAGGCTGCATGAGGCCTGGTTCAAGAGGCTTCATAGGGGAACAAGGTCTCCGTTAGCAACAGGACATAGACCATTTATGTGAAATTTTGGCAAAGAATTTGGCTGACTTCTGCCCAGGATCTAAAAACTTTCCTGATGTCAGGAAATATGTGAAAATGCTAGAGTCACTGGGAGAAGAAGGCCTGCTTTAAGGGGTCAGGAGACAGTGAGATGCTGCTATATGAAACTGAAAAAGTGGAAAGACCTCAGTTGAAATTGGGATTCTAAGACACGGGGGATGACAGAGCTATGAGGCATCCGCTAAGGAGAGCCTCATATAAGGAATGGAAGCAACCCAAAAGAGAGACGTATGCTGCAGGCTGCAAGACCTTTGACACCAGATATGGGGCTATGGGGATCTGGTGTTTTCCGTGTTGGGTTTCTGTCTTAATTTGGTACAGTATTTCCTCTTTATGTCTCATTTCTCCCCTTTAGAATTAAAATGTATACCCTGTGTCAACACATGCTGGAAATGTGTAAATGGTTTTATAGATAGTCAGAGTTATGTTACTTTTAATCTCAGTAGGACTTTGGATATGTAAACAGTGTTGAGACTATAGGGACTTTAATAGAAATTTGACTAAATGCTTTTGCACTATAATATGGCCATAAGCCTATGGGGACCAGGTACTGGAACGTGGCAGTTTGAATTGAAAATGTTGCATATAGGCTCCAGCAACTGGCCCATATAAACACTTTAGAAAGTACTCGCTATTTTTAGCCATCAGGGAGATGCATACTAAAACCACTTTGAGATTTCACCTTAGACCCATTAAAATAGCAAAGATCAATAAAACAAAAGACAACCCCTGTTGGCAAGGATGTGGGGTAAGGGGAATGCTCATTCTTTGCTGGTGGGAGTACAGTCACTACAGAAAACAGTGTGGAAGTTTCTCAAAAAGCTTAAAATAGATTTACCACAAGATCCAGTTATGTTACTCTTGTGTATATATGCCCAAAGGATTCAGCATTTTACTACCTAGATATTTGCTCATCCATATTCATTGCTGCTCTATTTCACAGAAAGTGGCAACAACCTAGATGCCCATCAACTGATGAATGGAAAATGAAAAAGTGGTCCATTTACAGAATGAAATATTATTCAACTATTAAGAAAAATGAAGTTGTGAAATTTTCAAGTCAACGGATAAAGCTAGAAATAATCATCCTGAGTGAGGTCAAGGTAACCCAGACCCTGAAGACAGTGTATGTTTTCTTTTATGTGTGGATGTTAGCATTTAAGCTTTAGGTAGGTGTGCTTGATTTAGGATAACCACGTTTGGTAGCGAGCGAATGACCAGGAGGGAGAGGAAGGGAAAATAGAATATATTAATATCCCTATTATATATCTATCGTATGCTACCAAGTATAAGTTCCATTACCAGAAATGGGTTATACATTTTTGATTCATTGGCCAAAGAGGCCCCATAGACCCCCACCAAACATTATAGGCAATTGCCAATGCTATTGGTTACCCTCTACAACTTGGTGGTAAGACCTTATTTTGAAGGTACCACACACATACTTATGCCATAGGCATGGATAAATCTAGCTGGTACTCAGCTGGAAGCTTTATCTCTACTGGCTACTGTTTATAATTACAGAAGGTGCTATTAAAAGAGAAAAGTCATTATCAGTCTCACCCAACTATAAACCCTGCAGTCTATAAAAATGTTCTTTCTGCAAGGTATGCCCACTGGTACAACAGTGGTATGAATTTTGAGGGAGTAACCAACCACTCTTGATTAGATTTAAGCCCTGCTTCATGAGATGGAACCCGTATCTGCCATCACTGAAGCAGCCAAGAACCTGAGTCTAGAGATAGGTCATGGACCCTAGCAGAAAAGTTACCACTATTATTCTACTCAATGAATGTAGCAATAAAAACAACTCCTAATGACATATTCCTATACCCACAGATCATCAGGACATTGCTTAGCCCTCATCAGAGAAGCTTCTTTTTGCAGTATATGATAATATTATGCAGAGACCCACAACTGGATAGTGTACAGGGAGTAAGAGACTTTGGAGTACTCAGCCCTAATGGCATCACACTCCTGCCAGCCAGGCTCAGAGTTAAATGTGGAAGAGAACACAGAAAGATTGTAACAACAGAGGTGGTACATGGCTTCAAAGAAAACATTTTCCAGACACAACTGGAAATCACAGAGGCCGTGACACCATGGCCAAGACTTGCACAAGGTAGACTCAGGCCAAGTCCCAGCATGGAGGAAGGCCAATGAACACAAAATTCCACCCCAGTCAAGAAGCTTTTCTCAACTGTTAGCTTCTGGGGGAGAGAAAATCCATTTTCTTCAGTTGTGTGTCTCTGCATATATCAACCACTCTCCAGGGCAGGTACCATGCTCTGCAGTAGTTGACCAATACAAATCCAGGTCCATATTTTTGCTCGTTTGTCTGTTTGGTGTGTGTATTGTGTGTAAGAGAGAGAAAACACAAAGTTAGGTGGGTAGGGAGGTAGAGGAGGATCTGGATGAAGTTAGAAGAGGGCAAAGAATACAATCAAAATATACTGTATGAAATTGTCACAGAAACTAAAGCAGCAGGCACAGGGCCTGCATGGGTCTACATTGGGTCCTTTGTGGATTTGTCATGGCTTCCAGTTTAGTGTTTTTATGGGATTCGTGAGTGCAAACAAGTGAATCTATGTTTCTTTTTTTCCTTTTTTATTTATTTTTCCATTCAAAAAATTTACACTTCCTCCCCTCCTCCCATTCCTCTCCTGCTCCCCCACTCACCCTCCTCCCTCCCTCCTTAAGAGAGGGCAGGGAGCCCTGCCCTGTGGGAAGTCCACCCCCCCACATCCAGTCCTAGGAAGCTTTGCATCCAAATAGACAAATAGACTAGGGTCCCAAAAAGCCAGTACATGCAGTAGAAACAAGTCCCAGTGCCTTTATCAATGGTTTCTCAGTCAGCCCCCATTTACAGAGACTCCGGTTTGATTGCATGCTCATTCAGTCCTGGTCCAGCTGGATTTGGTGAGCTCCCATTAGGGAAGGTGGAGATGGAGGAAGGACAGATGTAGGAGCAGGGAAGAAGATATCTACATTAAGGGAGCCATTTTAGGGTTGGCAAGAGACTTGGCTCTAGAGAGGTTCCCACGTGTCCATGGGGATGACCCCCAGCTAGGTCCTTGGGCAGCAGAGGAGAGAGTGCCTGAACTGGCCTTGCCCCACTATCACACTGATGATTATCTTGAGTATCACCTGAAGGCGTAAGTCATGAACAATGCCACACCAGTTTGGAATTATGATTAATAGGATGGTATTTTTTTAAAGAGGAAAAAACTTACAGATCACCGTCCCAGACAACAGCCCTCTGCGCACCCAGGAAGAGAGTCTCGCTGGCGGAGCAGGAAGTGAAGAGAGCGAGCGGAGGAAGTAGCCGCTTTTTTAAAGGGAGAGAGAGACCACGCCCCAATGGGCTGGTATCTCAGCAGCTATTGGTTGGAGGGGCGGAAGGACCTCCCGCAACAACCACCATAGTGTCTTCGTCCAGCCACAGATGGAGATAGAGACAAAGACCCTCATCAGAGCCCCCAAGGTCCAGTTGAAGAGCAGAAGGAGGGAGAAGAGGAGCAAGGAAGTCAGGACCATGAGGGGTTGGTTCACCCACTGAGACAGTGTGCCTGATCTAATGGGAGCTCATCAAATCCAGGTGAATCTATGTTTCTTGGGCCTTCTCTTGAGTTCTGGTTTGCCGTGTCCAACTTTGATATGATGTTTTTTGTTTTATCTTATTATATTTTATTTTGATGTGTTTTGTTGTTATCTCTTAGAAGTCTTTTTTTTTTTCTAATGAGAGACAGACAGAGAGTGGAACCAGATGGGAGAGGAGGTGGGTGTAAACTGGGCAGAATAGAGGGAGGGGGAGCTGTAATCAGGATATATTGAATGAGAGAAGAATCTATTTTCAATAAAAAGGGAAAAGTCACAATTTACCTAAAGTGATATTCTTAATTCAATATGAGTGATACTAAATATACAAAAATAACAAAAATGTTGCAAGATAAACTTTATGTTTTAAAAAAATTCAGGATAATTAAAATTTATCATTATGGTATAAACGCATTGCTGTTCTTATTTGCTAATTTTCACTGGCTGTTATATCACTAAACACAAAGTTCATAAGAATAATTATTTAGTAATATTTTATTTCTGTTGATTTATACCTTAGTTATCAAACAATAGACAGAAACAAGAGTTGCTGATAAAAATATACCCATCTAAGATATAAAGCAAAGCATTACTTTCCATATTTCATTTTCATATTTTTTGTTTTGTTTTTAAGTTATACCAGACATATCAAAATGATTTGGGAAATGTTATTTACACCATTGCCAAAGGGAATAAAAATTAGTTTAATTTCTTAGAAAATCTGGTCAGAAAAGGATGTTTTTAAGTATTTTGTTTATAGCTTTAAGTAATTATGTAGTTAGTATTACCAGAGATGGAGTAAGCAGAAATTTTGCAATATAATGATATGCCCATTATAATTTCAAGAATGTATTGAGCATACAATTTGTCGAAGACAATTAAACACAGATATGAAGTCATTTGCTCTACTCAGTTCAATATATTGATTACAAATAGCCAGTGCATCATTTTGCTCTGTAAAGATCAACAATGGTGGACATTGGATGTGTAATAGAAGTAAATTAAACTAATGCAACTCTGATTTTATGTATAAAAAATTACTTGTTGGAGCTAAAGGTCTTAGGTGTCTTATGTTCTTTATCTTCACAGAAATGTATATCTATGATTTGAATTACTGGGGCATATGGTGAGGATTTTATAAGAGCCCTGGCGTAGATCAGTTGCCCCTTACATATGCCCTCTTATCGTTACAGAATTGTATATATGAGAACTGCTTAATTACAGAAGTGTATATATGAAAATTACTGTACAACTAGAATCAAGGACACCAGGACATGGTACCAACAGTAACCTCATGCTACAGCAGCAACCTCATGCTACAATAGTAACCTCATGCTATAGGCAGAATAGAACAAGAAAATCAAATCCAATATTTGGAACTAGTGTTTCCATGTCTCAGTTGGTTATTTTTCTTTCTTTCCTTCCCAATGTCTTCCAACAGTTATAAAAAGCTTGACTTCACTATTTCTAAGTCCAGTGAACAGACAAGATTGATTTAAGAATATCAGAAAAGTAGGAGGGGTTGCACAAAAGGATGAGTGAGGTCAGGATTTAAGAACTGGCTGAAGAGCTACTTACATAAGAAAGGATATCCTCCTGCATTTTTTATATTCTATTGCTTTCTGTTGTTTTGTATTTATGTTATTAGTTAAATGCGTTAGACAATTTGTATTTCTATTCATATTAAAATTAGTTCTTCATAAATTAACTTTCATTTCCAAGAATATTTTACTTTTAAGTTATAATGGTGGTAGTTTGTATTAAAACATTCTCATGAAAAACTCTATGTAATACTGTATACTAATGTTCATTATGTGAACTTCATGTCCTCTTGCTGCATTAGAGACATCCAAAGATTATATTCTGAACTTGAAGCATTTTTCTAATGTTACAAAGAAAGAAATAAGGCAATTCCAAGTAGTATTAAAATATTATTATGATAATAAAGGGACTGAATATCTTTTGATTCTTATTAGCCGATTATGAAACAATACATATGATATTTGTATATTTACATATTACAAATTCCAATATCATTATATTGTTGTAAATTAGGAAGAAAATATAAAATTAAGTGAAAACTATTGTAAGCAAATCTTCATAAATACAACACATTAGAGACTATGTAGATCAAATACCATGGACCATGACTCTCGTGCATTTAACCTTGCTGTACTATGTACCAGGGTACCCTTCTTCAGGTTGATTTCACTCCATTGGTCAATCAAAAGATGTAACCATGGAAGCAATATCATAATTAATTTTCTTGGCCAGTTCTATTCTCATCATGTTTCTTAAAAGGCTCTCTAAATTATATCATCATTGAGCTGTACATCTGATACACCTGTCTTATCTAAATGTGAAATCTATGAATCACAGCTTATTATTGGTGTATCCATATGGACCCCCAGAAGCATGCACACTCTTTTCTAAAAGTGATCACAAATATTCACTTTAATAAGGTGACACACTTCCATACTAGTTCTCTTTTCCTATTTCTAGAATCTCAGGTCTTCCTTTTGCTTACACATCTCACACCTGCACTGGAGAGATGATTCCAAGGATAAAGGATAAAGGCACTTGCCCTAAGCTGAGGACCTGAGTTGGATTCCTGGAACCCTCAAGGTAGAAAGAGATAACAAACTTATGTAAGTCATACTCTGTTCTTCACACATCATGTCATGTGTATACACACACACACAGAGAGAGAGAGAGAGAGAGAGAGAGAGAGAGAGAGAGAGAGAGAGAGAGAGAGAGAGAAGGGGTGCTTTTAAAGTTTACATTATCAACTTTTTTCCTTTCTCCAAATAATCTGCAACATTGTAAAATTACTTTTTGCTCTTAAATGGTTAAATGGTTTGTTTAATGATCTCTTGACTTCAACATTCATTTTTTTTTCTTAAAAATTTTTTTCTTTTAAAAAAAAATTGTAGGATTTTTCTGAGAGAATAGATAAAACCAAACAAGAGTTCAGGGTTTCCATGGTTTTTTTTTTTTCTGTGTTTTTTTTCCCTCTTTAGCCCACATTTCTTTAACCCCATCTTTGATTATTGAATTATTGAATTACTGTCCTTCAATGGGTATTCAACTGTAAACAGGAATTCTATCTATGACAATCAATTTATTTATAAATAATATAAGCACAAGTTTGCACCCATTTAAGTTATAGATTTTGATAATTCTTGTGAGTTGCATTAGTCATAACCCTCACCTTACCAGAATTCTTGATCAAGAGCTTTTCAGCATTATTTCTCTCTTCCATTGTTGTAGGAGCACATTTCGCTCCTTCAGCCAATAGCCTTTAAGATACCAGCCCATTTGGGAATGGTCTCTTATACTATTTATGCCAACATAAAGCATGCGTCTGTCCTCTTCCTGCTGCAGGATTTGGTTCCTGTTCCTCATTCCAGCAGAGCATTGTGATTTGTCAGTCTACCCCTAAATACATAACCTTCTATTATTCTCAGTTCTGAGCTAGTGTGGGACTTCTTTTCCATATAAAACTTTATAAAATAAAGACAAAGGACCAGACTATCTCTTCACTAAGCAAGTCTAGCATTTTCTGGGTTTATTATTTTAAGTGTTAAAAACCTTTTTACAAATTCTCAGTACAGTCTTTTGGCCAAGCTGGTGTGTGTAGGTTTTGCATCACTTCATTTTTTTGTTTGTAGGTTTGGTGTAAATTGCATTAAGTACAAAACCAGGCTCTCTCGGAATGGGAAAATTGGTAGTTCTTAGTATGTACATGTCTTTTCCTGCTTCAGTTTTGGAATTTCACTTTTGGAGTTGCTCTTAACATTTATAAATGCAAAGAGTAATGTAAATATGATTCCTATAAGCTTCATTTTGAATTTCATATTTGTCTTGAAGTAATAAATGGTTTCATCCAGAATACCTATACTTTTTGTCTTTCAAGTGGTAGATCATTTGAAATGACTTCTTTTTTATTTTTTTATTGATTTTATAGAGCTCTACATTTTTCTCTCCTCCCCTCCCTGCCTCTCGCCCCACCCCTTCATCCTCTCCCAAGGTTCCCATGCTCCCAATTTACTCAGGAGATCTTGTCTTTTACTACTTCCCATGTACATTAGATCCATGTATGGTCCTCTTATGGTCCTCATTGTTGTCTAGGTTCTCTGGGATTGTGAATTGTAGGCTGGTTTTTCTTGCTTTATGTTTAAAAACCACATATGAGTTAGGACATGTGATAATTGTCTTTCTGGGTCTGGGTTATCTCACTCAAAATGATGTTTTCTAGCTCCATCCATTTGCCTGTAAATTTCAAGATGTCGTTATTTTTTCCTGCTGTGTAGTAATCCGTTGTGTAAATGTACCACATTTTCCTTATCCATTCTTTGGTTGAGGGACATTTATGTTGTTTCCAAGTTCTGGCTATGACAAACAATGCTGCTATGAACATAGTTGACAACATGTCCTTGTGGTATGATTGAGCATCCTTTGGGTAGTATATACCCCAAAATGGAATTGTTGGGTATTGTGGAAGGTTGTTTCCTAATTTGTTGAGATATTGCCATACTGATATCCAAAGGAGCTATACCAGCTTACACTCCTACCAGCAATGCAGGAGTGTTCCCTTTACACAAAATCCTCTCCAGCATAAGCTGTCATCAGTGTTTTTGATCTTGGCCATTCTTACAGGTATAAGACAGAATCTCAGAGTTCTTTTGAGTTGCATTTCTATGATGGATAAGGTTGTTTAACAGTTTTTTTTAACAGTCAAAAATAGGTTTTTGTGTGTCTCAGAGAGTTTATGCCTGCATTATCTATTCTATTTCAATGGTCTTGATGTCTGTTTTCGTGTAAGTTCAATGAAGTTTTTTTTTTATTCTTTGACAAATTCATACAAATATATAATTTGAATTTTTACCCCCTATTATCCTCTCTCATCACCCCTCACTGGTGCTATACATTTTCTTTCCAGCAAGTTCTCAATCCTACTTTCAAGTATTTTATTATTGTTATTTTGAGGTTTCTTTGTTTGTGACCTAGTAAATATAATTAATGTTGCTTGCATGAGCACAGTTGGGAGGCTATGAACCATACTATGGACAAGTTAGCAATGGCTATCATATCAAATATAATGGCTCCTCATCCCCCAGAAACCAATCACCACCATGGATTTCTCAGATGCCTTGGTGCTTCATTTCCCTCTAACTACTCATCACGAAAAGTTTATTGGTCTCATCTTGTGCCATTTTTCTTCAGTTTGAAAATAAAGCTATTGAGGGTTCTTTCGTGGAACAGACGTATCATTTCCAGAAGATACACAGTGTTTCCCACATTTATCCTACACCCAGCTTCTATTTTCTACTGTGGGTCCATAGGTAGAACAGACGTATCACTTCCAGAAGATAGACAGCGTTTCACAGCATGTATTTTACACTCAGCTTCTATTTTCTACTGTGGGTCCATAGGTGGAACAGCCGTATCACTTCCAGAAGATAGACAGTGTTTCCCACATTTATCCTACACCCAGCTTCTATTTTCTACTGTGGGTCCATAGGTGGAACAGCCGTATCACTTCCAGAAGATAGACAGCATTTCACAGCATGTATCCTACACCCAGCCTTTATTTTCTTTCTACCCCCAGTTCTGCAATGATCCCTGAACCTTGGAACAGAACTGGAGATGTTCCATTTGGAGATGAGCAATCAACAAGCAGTTATTTTTAGTTCTTTGACCAGTTACACATCTACACATCTCTTCATTGTCATACACTGCAAAAAAAAAAACCTTCCTTCATTCCTTCCTTCCTTTATTTATCTATCTATCAATTTGTCTGTTTGTCTATTAGAGGCAGGGTCTCTCTCTGTGTATCTCTGGCTGTCCTGGAACTCGCTCTGTAGACCAGGCTAGCCTTGAACTCTCAGAGATCTGCCTGCCTCTGCCTCCTGAGTACTTGAACTAAAGGTGTGCACCACCACTACCCGGCTGAACAGAAGGATGAGAGGAGCACTATTGTATGGATAGAAATGGAAATATTTAGGGCAGATGTGGTTGGTTTATGCCTTTAATTCCAGCAGTCTGGAGGTAGAGGCAGGCACAGGTCTGTGAGTTTGCTGCCAGGCCTAGTCTACATAACAAGTTCCAGGCCAAACCATTCTAAATATAATCCATATATATTTAGAAACAATCTTGATCATGTTTATTCAGCAAGACAGCAGCAGAAATTTCCACCTTGCACACATGACTTTCCTAACCACGGAGTATTGGCCAGTATTCTAATACCAGGCATGGATTCCTTCCTGTGAAACAGGCTTCAAATACAACCAAGGTAGTTCATCCCCCAAGTAACTGTCATTCTGCTATTGCAACATCAGGGGAATATTTCCTAACATGCCAATAATGTCGATTACAGGGCTCACAGCTGCATAAATCATCGATGACTTTTCTTTCACCAGTAGAATGAATCACTCCCTTTGGCATTAGGACAGGTGGCTAGCATGTAGGAAGCTTTCAGCTCACTGCCGACTTGATTCCTTGAGTTCTGGGACCAAAATATCAAAGTATTGAATGTCTTTAGCAGTAGAGGCTTAATTTCTAATTCTGGTGCATAACCGAAAGCAATAGCAATTGGGTGTATTTTTCGGGAAACCAATGGGGCTTCTTAGATCAGCAACTCATAGTGAGGTACCTGATATCTGGCACTAAGGTGTGTGGGGTGTGTGTGTACAAACAATTGCAGATACCTGTTGAGGACAGAGGCATCAGATTCCTCTGGAGCTGGAGTTGCAGGCATTTGCGAGCTTCCTAAGGCAGCTGCTGGGAACTGAACTGAGGTCTTCTACAAGAGATTTCTTATCCATTTTCCAGCTCCTGGAGCTTTTGTTTAATAGCTCATGACTTCTAGAAATAGCATTATTTGTATATATGCAGAGTATCTCTGTTCAAATACTTTCAAAAACTTGATTTTTAATTAGCTTATAAAATAGTAGTTTTCTATGTGGCTTTTTAAAAAACAATTTTATTTACTTATCTTACATTCTGGACACAGTTTCCCCTCCCTCCTCTCCTCCAAGTCCCCCCAGTCCACCCTCTGTTTCCACCCCCCAATCCCCTCCTCCTTCTTTCTGTTTAGGAAAGGGCAGGTCTCCCATGTGTATCAACAAAACATGGCATATCGTGTTACAGTAAGACTAAGCACCTCTCCTTGTATTAAGGTGGGGGGGCAAGGCGACCCAGTATGAAGAGTAGGGTTCCCAAAACCTACAAAAGAGTCAGAGACAGTCCCTGCTTCCACTGTTAGAAGTCCTACAAGAGGACCAAGCTATACAACTGTCACATATATGCAGAGTGTCTAGGTCAGCCGCATGCAGGTTCCCTGGTTTTCACTTCAGTCCCTCTGAGACCCTTGAGTCCAGGTTTGTTGATTCTGTGAGTTTTCTTAAGGTGTCCTTGACCCCTCTGGCTCTTCCAATTTCTCCTCCTCTTCATTAGCATTCCTCGAATCTGCCCAATATTTGGCTGTGAGTCTGTGTCTGTTTCCTTTAGTTGCTGGATGCAGCCTCACTGATGACAACTGGTCCAGGCACCAGTCTAGTCACATGAGATGGCCAGTTCAGGCTACAGATCTACTTTTGCTAGGAGTTTAAACTGGGGTCTTCCTTGTAGATTCCATGGAGATTCTCTTGTGGCAGGTTATTGTTACTACTAGAAATGCCCCCCTCTTTTCTAGTAGTCTCTCAGTACTTTTCTCCCTCTGCCCTCTCCAAACCTAATCATGACTGAGAGTGGTTGGGGATGGGAACAAGAGCAATTTGCATGGTTTGGTTTTTTTGTTTGTTTGGTATTGGTTTTTGAGACAGGGTTTCTTTGTAACACCCCTGGCTGTCCTGAAACTCGCTTTGTGGACCAGGCTGACCTCAAACTCACAGAGATCTACCTGCCTCTTCCTCCCCAGCACTGGGATTAAAGTTGTGTGCCACCACTGCCCAGCTCTACATGGCTTTATAATGCAACTTTAGTATCGTCTAGCCATATCTTACCCTCTCTTTTAACCCCTTCTAAGCCTCACTTTAATTGATGGATCCTCAGTGTTCTCCCACACACTTCATTTAAGGCCTCTTCTCTCTCCGCAAATAATGACCTTTCTCCAGCATCCTGGCCTTTAGAGATGCTCAAATTTAAATGAACTAATTCAAAACTAAGATCTACCTATGAGAGAGGGCATATAGTTTTTCTCTTTCAAGGCCTGGGTTATCTTAGTATATTTTTCAGTTACATCCACTGTCCTGAAAATTACATACTTACATTACAACTGAATAAAATATCTCTATCTCTACCCCTGCCCCATACATATATATATATATATCCCAATTTGATTATTCAGCTAACTATTGATGAACCTCTGATCTAGTGTGATTACTTTTAACTTTTCTGACTATAGTCACAGTGAACATGGATGTGCAAGTTCAGCAGAAAGCCTCAAAAGTGAATGGGTCACCCTGGGTACCCTACCAGCATAAGCAAAAACGGGGAACTCACTGAGATGAAGTTGATCCAGTCTGGCAGAGAGGGTGCACAGTTAGGGTGTTTTCCAGCACGTGGCCCTGGGCCCTGTGCTGCCGGAAAAACAGATCCTTTTGGTAGGAAACCTCCATCTGTTAGGAAAAACTTTAAAACGATCCTGTCTACCCACACAAAATAACTCGAATTAGACCAGATTACACCAAATCAAAGAGCCCAAGTTTAATGACTGCAATGCTCCTGAGTTGTGGGGAACATGGTGGGGGAGGAGGGAGGAAAGGGGGAGACAGGGAGAGACCATGCAAAACCTGGGACATATGTTAACTAGCCTGTGAGAGTGGTCCTGACCGTTCCTGGAGAGGGTCAGCACTTGGCAGGCTTCCCTGAGGTGGAGTCTGAACCAGGGCAACTCCCAGGGGGAAGGGGCTTAGGATGGATGCCAGGGACTGGGGTGCTGCTTCCAATCTTCCCAGACTCGTTGGATATAGGGGTGTTAGAGGGCTGGGGTCTCACTTTTGACCAAATATCCCACAACAGCCATCTGTAATTTGTTCATCAATGAGGAAGTTTAAAAACAAAGGGAATGCCTGTTCCTGATCACTGCTTAACTGGGTACTGATTAGCACTAAACTATGAGATATAGGCGAGAGGCCATCAGCAATTGTCATGAATCTCTAGAAACACATAGGTTTACAAAATAAAAGCCTAAAACCAAGATTGTTTGGCAATCTTGACATTTATTCTTCAAAAGTGGTCCTTATTTTATCTTTTTTATCCAATTCTTTTTCTTTTTTATTTTGTTTTATTTTTCCATTCAAAAATGTACACTTCCTCCCCTCCTTCCAGTCCCCCTCCCACTCCCCCACTCCCCTTTGTCCCTCCCCCTCCCTCCTTAAGAGAGGGCAGGGCTAGGAAGGTGAGTATCCAAACAGACTAGGCTCCCACAAAGTCATTACATGCAGTAGGATCAAAACCCAGTGCCATTGTCCTTGGCTTCTCAGTCAGCCCTTCGTCAGCCACGTTCAGGGAGTTTGATCACATGCTCCATCATCCAGCTGGCCTTGGTGAGCTCCCATTAGATCAGCCCCACTGTCTCAGTGGGTGGGCGCACCCCTTGCGGTTCTAACTTCCTTGCTCATGTTCTCCCTCCTTCTGAATGCTCACCTTCCTAGTCCTGGATGGAGGGGGGGAGGTCCTTGGACTTCTCACAGGGCAGGGAAACCTGACTGCTCTTTGGACTGGAGAGGGAGGGGAAGGGGGATGGGGGAGCGGGAGGGAAATGGGAGGAGGGGAGGAGGTGGAAATTTTAATTAAATAATAAAAATAGATAGATAGATAGATAGATAGATAGATAGATAGATAGATAGATAGATAAGAGAGGGCCGGTAACCTCCCTGTGGGAAGTCCAAAGCCCTTCCCTCTCCATCCAGGTCTAGGAAGGTGTGCATACAAACAGACTAGGGTCCCCAAAACACAGTACATGCAGTAGAAACAGGTCCCAGGGTCATTAGCGATGGCTTCTCAGTCTGCCCCTATTGGCAGCCACATTCACAGCATCCGGTTTGATCCCATGCTCTATCAGTCCCCATCCAGCTGGAAATGGTGACCTCCCATTACATCAGGCACACTGTCTTAGTGGGTGGAACAACCCCTCGCGGTCCTGACTTCCTTTCTCATCTTCCCCCTCCTTCTGCTCTTCAACTGGACCTTGGGAGCTCAGTCCATTGCTCTGGTGAGGGTCTCTGTCTCTATCTCCATTCTTCACCAAAGATTTTATGGTGATATTCGTGATAATCATCAGTGTGATAGTGGGGCAAGGCCAGTTCAGGCACCCTCTACTCTGCAAAGTCAGAAAATAAACTCCCTCACTTTCACTAATGCAAGATTCCAGTGCTTTTGTTACGAACTGCTGGTTTTTAGTTCTCAAATGGCATCCACAGGCTCTACATGGCACTCTTCGTTGATGCGTGCATGAGCACACATACACAGTACATGATAAACATAATGTAAAAATACAAAGAGAAGAGGAGTGAAAAATGAAAACTTGGCTTAAGAAAAATAACAAAATCGTTGCTAAATTATGGAAGAGAAGGAGAAAATAGGTAAACACGGGGACCAAAAAGATTACACAAAAATCTAAAGAATATAATTAAGTTAGTAAAACATGAAAGGGAATAAAAAGTAACTGCTTAATTTACAAATTTGAAATATTGGACTGGAGGGGTGAATCAGCATTTGAGAGCACTTTCTGCTTTTGCAAAGAACTCAGGTTCTTTTCTCAGAAACCATATGATGGCTCACAATCACCCATAACTCCAGTATCAAGGGATACAAAACCCTCTTCTTGTGTCCTCTCAGGTCAGGTACACACCCACTGCACATATAAACATACAGGCAAAACATAAAATAACAAAGAAACCTTTAAAAAATTAAATTCAATATGTTTTTACTTATCGTTTAAAAATTCAATACAAGTATACAACGTGTTTTGATCAAGGCCATCCCACACTCCCTCCCCTTCAATTCTTTTTATACTTCCCCACCACTTTTTCTCTGAAACACATGTACTCAATTCTTTTAAGCTGAAGATTTTTATTGAAATTTTTAACTTTATTTTTGAAAATATTATACATGTACATAATGCATTATGGCCATATCTACTCCCTCTTCCTCTTAAACACTGCTTAGGGCCTCTTAACATCTCTGTCTCCCAACTTCATGTCCTCTATTTTATTCTATTATTGTATGTTTATGGACGTTTTATTTGTATGTATATCTGTGTACCACATACATGCCTGGTGCCTGTGAAGTCCAGAAAAGGGCATTCAGTACCCTGGAACTGGAGCTAATGATGATTGTTTGTTGCCTCGTGGGTGCTGGGAATTGAACCTGGGTCCTCTGGAAGAACAGTCAGTGCTCTTAACTGCTAGACATCATCTCTCCTTCTTCATGTCCTTTTATTTTTATTTGTTCTATTTTTCTTTCATTATTATTGTTATGAATACATATATAACTACAATCCGCTTAGTTAATTTACTGTTGCTCACATATATATGTTTTGGGGGCTGACCACTTACTATTAGATAATCAATTCGGGAGCTCATCCTTGGGAAGGAATGATTCTTTCTCTCAGCAGTCATTAGTTGCCTGTAGGTCTTCACTTAGGGTGGGACTTTGTGAGATTTCACCCATCCACATTGGCATGTCAGCTGGCATCGCCATTGATCAGGCTACCATATTTTGTTGAGCGTATATAGGTGAAACTTTATTGTCCTGACTAACAACTTTAAAGGAGGTTTCTCATTGTTGGTGTTGGGTGTTTTGTTAGATAAACTATGAATCATGTGAGTATGTGTTGGGAATATTATTTTGAGGTGTGTGACTTTTTTTATGTTGCATTTGTTTAACTCTGTGAAGCTGTGATTCTTTGCCTGTCTCGAACACCTGATGATGTAATATGGAGCTGAATGGCCAATAGCCAGGCAGGAGCAATGATAGGTGGGGCTGGCAGGCAGAGAGAAGATATAGGAGAAAACTGGGAAAAGGGATTCAGAGTAGTAGCCCAAGAAGAAGGAGGATATCAGGGCCAGCCACCCAACTACACAGCAATCCACAGAGTAAGAGGAAGATTTTACAAAGTAAGAGAATGGGAAAAACACAGAGGCCAGAGAAGCTGGGTGATGGTGGCACTTGTCTTTAACCCCAGCATCCAGGAGGCAGAGGCAGGTGGATCTCCGTGAGTTCGAAACCAGCCTGGTCTACAACAGCTAGTTCCAGGACAGGCTCCAAAGCTACAGAGAAACCTTCTCTTGAAAAACCAGAAGTTTATAAGGATAAGAATCCATGTGTGATTCATTTGGGAGCTGGATGGTGGGTCCACCAAAAGAGTCTGAAGGGCATAACATCATACTACTATGGTATGTGTGTTTATGTATGCATATACACTTATATATGTTATGTGTGACCTTAGGTAAGCATGAACCTATATGCATCTCTATGGATTTTTCAAGCATCTTTAGTGTTATTCATGCCTTTGTTTTGCTGAAGAGGGAACAAGGCTAAGTTTCAAAGTAAGGGAAACAGGTTGAAAGGGGAGGAAGGGCAAGCAGCTGCAGGACTCGGATAACCAGAAGGGAAAAGGAGGGGAGGCAAAGCACTGGCATGCACAGAAAGAGCATAGAATAAAGCTGTTCTCGGGTCCAGAATTGCTCATCACACATAGCCCATGTCACTAAATAAGCTCACAACGCATTTTCCCACAGGTTTTTCAGTCTGGCAGCAAAACTTGTCAGCTTTTGGTAGAAGCATTCCTCTGTAGGTAAATATCACAACAATATGCCGGTGCTCCCCCACACCCCGGAATTAGAAGAGGAATTGGTGCTGCCATCATTTTCAAACACCTTTGAACTTACAGGATTGGTGATTGAAATGAAAAGTACCAGTGGCTTTAGGTCACCTGTGGCATTAAGGAGAACAGTTCAGTAAATACAAATTCTCTCTCTCAGGACTTTGATCCTCATTTCTCAAGTGTTACTCACCAATGAGATTATACTGTGGAGAAAAAGAAAAGTGCACAACGGAAGACCATTATCATTTTAAACATTCATTTTGTTTATGTGAACATGTCCCTGGAGGCCTGAAGAGGGAGTCAGATTCCCTGGAGCTGGAGCTACAGGTGGCTCACAGAGGTTGGTGCTGGGAACTGATCAATGGGTCTTCTGGAAATGTAATGTGTTTTTAACCACTGAGTCATCTCTCCAGCCCTAGATAAAGATATTTAAACAGCAGAATTAAAGTGGTCGTTCTCTAATAGACAGTATCCATACATCTCCAAATATATTATTAAAATCAGTCTCAGGAACTCCTTCCTTCCATCCCTCCCTCCATCCCTCCTTCTTTCCATCCTTCCTCTTTAGTTGAAAATAGATTAAAAAGATAGGATATATTCTGATTATGTTTCCCTCCCCTAACTCCTCCAAGATCCTCCCAATTCCCCAAACCATCCCAATTCACAACTTTTCTTGTTCTCACTCATTAGGATACAAATGGGCATCTAAAAATGTAGATACAAGCCCACAAACCAGAATAGGACAAACCAAACAGAGAAGAAGAAGCAAAGAAAAAGCACAGGAAACATATATAGATGCAGAGACACACACAGAAAACCCATAAAACCAGTAACTATTTCACACACACACACACACACACACACACACACACACAGTCTCTCACTTTGCACTGTCACTGTGGGTCACAGCATTTATCATCTGCTTCAGGAAAACAAAAGCTTCTCTGATTATGTATATGTATATATATGCACACATATATACACACATTTATTCATGCATGTGTGTGTGCGTGCAAAGGACATGCATGGAAAAAAACACCTGACAAAGCTTTATAAAACCAAGAACCTCCAAAAATGCTATTGAGTTAGTTTTTGTTGGCCATCTCTTCTTGGGCATGGGGCCTAGCCTTATATGTACGCTCAGAGAGACTACATTGTGTTAGAGATGTGGGCTAGTGTTCACTTTCCCTCTCAGTACTGGGGCCTTATCAGTCTTAGCCCCTTGCAGGCCCTAGGCAAGTTGCCACAGTCTCTGTGAATTCCTATGTGCATTGGCTCTGCTGTGTCTAGAAGGCCTTGTTTCCTTGGTGTGCTCCATCCCCTCTTGCTCTTAAACTTTCTGACTCCTCTTCTGCAGGGTTCCCTGAGCCTTGAGAGGAGTGATTTGATGGTGAGGTCCTATTTAAGACTTGAGTGTTCCCTGGGCTGAGAGATCCTGGAGTTCACTTGAAGAGAGGGAGGATGGATCACATGAACAAAGCAGGGTGGTCAAGAGCATGATGGCGAAAACCACAGAGACTGCCTACATCCGACCCAAGCTAGTGGGAGCTCATGGACTATGGACTGACAGCTGGGGAACCTGCATGAGACCAAACCAGACCCTTTTAATATGGGTGACAATTGTGTGGCCTGGTCTGTTGAGGGAGCCCTGGCAGTCTCTCCAAGAGTTATCCCAGGTGCATGAACTGGCTTTTTGAAGCCCATTCCCTATGAAGGACATCTTGCCCAGCTTTGATATTGGGGGCGGGGCGGGTAGGCTTGGTCCTGCCTCAAGTTGGTATCCCAGACCTTGTTAACTTCCCAAGGAAGGCCTTACCCCCTCTGAGGAACAGATGGGGATGGGAAGGAGGAGGCGGGGTAGGAGAAGGGGAGGGAGGGGGAACTGGAGCCAGAATTTACAATGAAAAGTAATTTTTAAAAAAATAAAAACGTGGAAAAAAAACTTGAGTGTTCTAAAGTCTTTCACTATGTGCTGTGGGCCACTGTATTTATTACTGTCTGCTTCAGGAAAAAGCTTCTCTGCTATTGGTTGAGCAAGACACTGATCTATGAGTACAGCAGAATGTCATTAGCCATCATTTTACTCAAACCTTCCCTTAGCAGAATAGTAATAGTATTTGGTTTTATACTAGGTCCCTGGCCTATCTAGTCTCAGACTCTTGACAACCAAGCAGTTTCAGGTATGATTCCATCTCCTGGAGTAGGCCTTAAATCCAATCAGAATCAGATACTGACTGGTTACTCCCTCAAGGCTTGCGTCACTGTCTCCCTTAGTGCATCTTATAAACAGAGCAGCTTTGCAGAATGAAGAGCTTGTATACCTTTCTCCTTAGGAGCATACAGAGGACCTTCAGTAGCATGGACACTAGTCTGGATGGGGGAAGGCTCTATGTAGGCGCCAGCTCAACTTCTCCAATAGTCAATGAGCTGTGGAGATACTGTCTTCAGCAGCAGGGCCTTCCCATCAGTTTGTGGAGAGCAACAACTAGCCCTGGCAACAGCCTGGGTTGTTTGGGGGTTGCTTTTTTCTTAACATATAAACAATGTGACTCAAATATCTGTTCACAAAAAAATACTGTTATGGAAATACAGAAAACTTCACAATGAAAGCAGATTTCTCCTTTCATATTAGTAATTGTTTGCAAAAAGAAAAAAAAGGTAGCAGTCTCCAAGCTGAACTTCAAGGACCATCACAAAAATATTTCTTCCTTAGTGAAAAGAGAGAGAAGAGGTAGGGGTAGCAGCAGTGTTGAGAAGTGCAAACCAGATTTTACTAGAGACGGAAACAGCAAACGGTAGTGAGTGTAGTGAGTCAGGATGGGAAAGGAGTTTCTTAATATTGACATAATGAATTACAGGACTCCCTCAGTATCCACGGCAGAGGGGTCCCAGAACCCCCTCAGATCAAAGTCTATGGGAACTCAAGTCACTTGCACAAAACACCAAGGAATTTCCATATAATGCATGTGCTTGCCCCAGTATAACTTTATCTGCTTTGGGTTGCTTAAAATACTGAATACAAGGGGTTCAAGATTTCTCAGCTGTTAAGAGCACTTACTATCCTTGAAGAAGACCTGAGTTTTATTCTCAGCACCCAGATATTGGCACACAAACATCTGTAACTCGAGTTACAAGGGACCCCATGTTCCTGACCTCCGCAGGTACTAAGCAAGCATGTGTTGCAGACACACTTACACACAAAACAGCTATGCACATAAAATGAGAAATTATTAGTCAGCACTCGGGAGGCAGAGGCAGGCTGATCTCTGTGAGTTCGAGACCAGCCTGGTCTACAGAGCTAGTTCCAGGACAGGCTCCAAAGCCACAGAGAAACCCTGTCTCGAAAAACCAAAACAACAACAACAAAAAAGGATTAAAATGCTGATTACTATGTACAGACTATATGTACTATGTACATATGTACAAGCAGTGGGGGAATGTTGGCAAGAAAACGTTTGCTATGCACAGAAACATATTTTAGAAAAATTTTCCCAACCAGGATGCCTTGAACACAGAGAGGTGGAACAGTGACTAGACAGATGCGCCTGTGTTACGAATGTAGTAGCTTAAGATAAGGCACATTTATTATTTTACAGTTATGGAGGTTATACATTATATTTAAAAGGTGAGAGTAATGCAAAGATGTTCTGAGGGTTCCTCTCCTGTTACCATCACAATGGGAGAATCTTCTCTGGTTTTCTGCCCAGCTTCTGCTGACAGATTACATTCTATGGCTACCGTACTCCCATCTTCAAAGCCAACAATGGACTTTCCAGCTTTTCTTCTCCCATGCTGCTTGCTTCGAACACAGAAGCTTATGCCACACCTAAGTACTCTTGCAGTTATATTGGAAAGAATAATCCAGCATAATTGTGTGTTAAATTCCACGATTAAGAACCATAGGTACACCTGCAACTTCAATTCTCCTTGGCCAAATAACACATATTCACAGGAATGGACTGGGTATGGGTTGTTATTTTGCTAAACACTGGGTAGGTGCTTAAATGTATTTCTAAGTGGGCAAGCCCAACGGCTTCAGTGTGTGCTTAATGCGACTGCTGTTGTTCCTACAAACAAGCACAGACAAAAGAGGATGAAGAGCAGAGGGAATTCTGTGGAAAGAGCAAAATGAAAGATTCAAAATGAGTCAGATGTAGGTCTTAAGAGAAAAGATGTGTGAAGGGTCCTTTCCCTGAGATATACCGTGAACCTAGGCAGTTAGACATGGCTGACATCTGAGCTAGTTAATTCCTCCTGCGTTTGCATACGGGCAAGTATGAGAGCTTGGACATGTTTGGCAAGAGAAGATTTCAGAGCACCATTGGCAAGGAAACTGAACAGGCCCAAACTGTGTCCCAACACTTGGCTGTGGAACACCTGAGAGGCAGGACTCTAAGACACCCTGAAATACTGACAGGGAAAGGGCAATAGTCAATAAATAACCCCAAGATCTCTCTCTCTCTCTCTCTCTCTCTCTCTCTCTCTCTCTCTCTCTCTCTCTCTCTCTCTCTCTCTCCCTCCCTCCCTCCCTCTCTCTCCCCCCTCCCTCTACCTCTCTCCTCTCTCTTCCTCCCTCTCCCGCTCTCCCTCCATCTTTCCCTCTTTGCCTCTGTTTCCCTTTTGGAATAGGGGTAGTTGAGGGGGGAGATGTAACAGAAGCCCCCACTTCAGATCCCTTAGAGACAGAAGAGCCCCCCTCCTCTTCATGGCTGCATGAACCAGTGAGAAAAACATGGGAGAACCAACAGGAACAACCTACTGGCTGTCTGTTGCTAGGTCACCTGTCCCCTCTCAGGCTGCAGTACTGAGTGCCCCCCCACTTCCACTGGCGTCATATGAGTGGGTAGAGGGGGGAAGCAGGGAGGGGCAGGCAATGTCCAGCCTCGTTTTGAAGTGCTGATGTACCTAGGGGCCCACTCAGTATCCCTCCGCTGCCTCCTGCTCCCCAACTCCAGACACCCTCCTTCAAGTAGTCCCCCCCTCCCCAAAGCCTTCATAGACCCTAGCTCTCAGGCATCCCCCACCCTGGAGTGGCACCAGAAAAGTGGTGGTGGTCTCTGGTTAGGGTGAGCAGGTGGCTGCAGGAGCTCACTGTGCGACCCACCCCCTCCCCAGGGGAGCTGGGCTGCGTGCTGCCCCGCCCTCTCGGAGTCGGAACTACGGTGGGCCAGGGAGGGGGCGTCGAGCCCGTGCGCCATATCCCTCCGCCCCCTTCCCGACACCCTCGAGGCGAGCTGTGCCTGCCGCATCCTGCGCAACAGCCCCTGCCCGTTTGCTGCAGAGGCGTGGGGGCGGGACGCGTCTCTGCCATTCCACTCGCGCGCAAAGCGCCGAGAGCCCAGAGAGAGAGGAGCTGCGGAGGACTGAGCACAGCCGAGAGCAGACGAGCAGACGGGGGACGCGGCGAAGCCCGCAGACCTGGGCCGTGCGCCTGGCCAGGCAAGTGGGGGTGTGTCGAGGGCTCGGGGCGGCCGCGCTCTGCGGACCACCGCCCGGCCCTGACAGTGCAGTGGGGGCGAGCGGGTCGCGGGGGCTCCCCGGAGTGGTGCGCGGTTCCCGGAGATCCTAGGTGGGAGGAGGAAGCGGGAACCCCGCTCGGGCTGCGGGCCTAGGGGGCGGCTGGCTGTGAGGGTCTGGAGGCTGGCGGGGTAGGACAGCCTGGCAGTCTCCCTTCAGGTGTCAGAATAGGCCCTGAAAATGTTCTGCGGTAGGCAACGGCGGGAAAAATGGCGGTGCGGGAGTTGTATGTGTATGGGGGGGGGGTTGGGCCGCTGGGAGCCCTAGGGTGCGGGGCGGGTGTCCATCTCTGGGGCCAGCTCAGCTGGTGGGGGTGGTGAGTTGCCTAGGCTACCAGGACGCTGATCTGTTTCTGGAGAGGGACCCTTGTACCCTGCGCCCTGGGTGCCATCCCTTCCCACAGGCTCCTGCTAGATGGCAAAGTCTCCTGTCTGCGCGGTAGGTCTGGCGTGTTCTGACAGGCCACAGTGAGCATCTGTAGACCAGAGACTTAAGGAAGGAGGAACAGAAAAATGACCTGGATTTCTGGAGGTGTGTGGCCATGGGAGTGGGCACCAGACTGTGAGTGGAGATGCGAAAATGGTGGGGGTGACAGATCAGACAGGTGGGATATCCATTAGTGTCTCCTAATCTCATTTCTCACAGCCTTTCAGGTACTTTCCCCAATGCCCTTCCCCTCCCTCCCGAATTTGGGGTCTGAAAAGATGGTTTGGGGATGATGACGGAGTCATAAATCCAAGGACCACTTCAGAACCTGCTTTCTAGAATGTGCTGCGCCCTTCCCCCATTTTTTGCTGCGCAAGAAAAGGAAATGTGGCCACCTAGTGGTGAATCTTGAGAATGGCAGGACTAATGATTATGACATCAGGAAGTGGGTGTTATCTCAGGAACCCTGCAGTCAGGCAAAATAAAACTAGAATGTTCCAGCAGTAGGACCCTAAATGATGAAAGACACACAGTCTTCTCCTTTGTCGTGTTCTTCTCAAGAAGATCTGCTGCTGCCATCATTTCCCGATTGCCTAGCGTTTTCATCTCTTTGTCCACAGGCCTGCTTTAAGTCTGGTCAGCTCTGCAAGAAAGAGAAAAGCATTGAAGAGAGCATCTCAAGATCTCTGGAGGTTGGTAAGAATCTGGGCAATGAAAGGCCTAGGTACTGAGAAGGCAGATGCAGATTGCTGTAACCTAAGAGGGAGCATGATGTCTTTGCTGTCCCCTAAATCTGCCCACAGCTTCTACCATCATCTCCTGATTGTCTTACATTTTCCTCTTTGTCCACAGGCCTGCTTTAAGTCTTGTCAGCTCTGTTAGAAAGAAAACAGTCATCGAGGAGACTGTCTCAAGATCTCTGGAGGTTGGTGAGAATGGGGAGCAGTGGAGGACCCAGGAACTAATAAGGAGGCAGATGCAGACTGCTGTAACCCAAGAGGATGCATGATGTCTTTGCTGTCCCCTAAATTTGCCCACAGCTGCTACCATCATCTCCTGATTGTCTTACAGTTTCCTCTTTGTCCACAGGCCTGCTTTAAGTCTGGTCAGCTCTGCAAGAAAGAGAAAAGCATTGAAGAGAGCATCTCAAGATCTCTGGAGGTTGGTAAGAATCTGGGCCGTGAAAGACCTAGGTACTGAGGAGGCAGATGCAGATTGCTGTAACCCAAGAGGATGCATGATGTCTTTGCTGTCCCCTAAATTTGCCCACAGCTGCTAACATCATCTCCTGATTGTCTTACGTTTTCCTCTTTGTCCACAGGCCTGCTTTAAGTCTTGTCAGCTCTGTTAGAAAGAAAACAGTCATCGAGGAGACTGTCTTGGATCTCTGGAGGTTGGTGAGAATGGGGAGCAGTGGAGGACCCAGGAACTAATAAGGAGGCAGATGCAGACTGCTGTAGCCTAAGAGGATGCATGATGTCTTTCCTGGACCCTAAATTTGCTCACTGCCACAGCATCCTTTGTTTCCTTTCAGAGCTACTAGGAATGTTGAGGTAGATGTGAATTAGACTATGATCCACAGGACAAGACATGAGAGCTGGGACCAGGTAACAGGAACTTTAGGCAGAAAGCAGGCCTAGTTTTGTTGTTGGATTGGGCTCAGAGATGTGTGCCCTCGTAGCAGGCACCGAGCCTCCATTTTCTTTTATGTATTTGTAGGACTCCCTGCCGCCAGCTGTTGATCTTAACACCACCTGGACATAGAAGAGAGGAGGGAATTGCACCACATCGGTGAAGGTGGGTATGGGAGAGGGTTCACATTTAGATGAGGGCAGTAGAGATCGGCAAGACTGACTACTGAGAGATTGGGGCTCCCCTCTGTCTTCATTTCTAGCGTGTGCACTGTCTCCTCAACCCTGCGCCTGTGTTCCAGCAGGCAAGAGGAACATAGAGGTTTTCTCCTAGCTGAGCTTTTCCTCTCATCGTCATTCACCAGTGTCTCTGTGTAAGTTTCTCCAGGAGGCAAGCGAACTGTATAGGACTGACTTGCTCTTTTTTCTCTTCCTAGATCACCTACAGTGGCTGCTTGGTGATTCTGCGCTTGCTGCTGACCAGTGCAGTCAACAGGTCTGCGCCCACCTAGGACCTGTCCATCTTCCTCCGGCTTGGTTTCACCTCTTCTGCACTGTATCTGTGTTATTGACTGAGATTGTTCTTGGGTAGGAATCTTATTGGTGCCAGATTGGTGGTTTACCTCTGCTACTCACTCTATCTCTTGGATCATCAAAAGATCAGAGTGCCAAGAAGATACAATATTGTGACAAATCTCTTGTTGAGACTGAGGCTTTGGTAGGCATCCTTAATTGAGCCTTCACTCTAATTTGTACCATGACTGGGGCCGAAGTTGAAACTGGTTCTCAGGCCAAACCTGATAAGAAGCCTCAGGAAGAGGTTATGGGTGGGGCCAATGGAGAAAGTGAAGTCCCTATGGTGGTCAGACCCAAAGTCAGGCCCCAGGCTCCAGCCACAAGTGGGGCAAAGCGCAAAACTGGGAGTAAATCTTCATCTCGGGGAAGGCCTAAATCTGAAACCCAGTCAGGGTCTGGAACAAGGCCTAAAAATAATGGCCAGACAATGGCTAGAGCAAGGCCTAGATCTGAGGCCCAGGTAATGCCTGGTGCCAGGCCCAAAACCGATGCCAAGACAGTAGGTGGTGCTCGCCCTAAGGCTGAGGCCAAGCCAATCCCCAGAGCACGGCCTAAGGATGATGCCCAGGCATGGGCCCAGAGTGAGTTTGGGGCTGAGGCAACGTCACAGGCTGAGAGAGCACCCTTACCTAATGCTGTCACATGGCCCCTGGTCAGTGCTGCGTCTACATCAGTTCCTAAATCCAAGAGTCTATCTATGGATAGAGAACTGGTCAGTATGAATGAGGAAACCTTTCCTGGAGCCCAGGGTCAGGCTGGACTCCAGCCCTGGTTTAGACCTGGAGAGGAGACTAATACAGGTTCTTGGTGTTATCCCAGGCCTAGAGTGAGGGAGGAGACCTCTAATGAGTCTGGGTTTTGGTCAGCAGATGAAAATTCTACACTGTCTTCTATCTGGACTGGAGAGGAGACCAGTATCAGATCATGGCCAAGGGAGGAGGCAAATACTAGGTCCAGGCACAGGGCTAAACAGACTAATGACACTTCCGGGCCCCGATCCAAACAAGATTCTTGCTCTGGGTCTGAGGATGAGGCAGGCAACTCATTCTGCCTTTGGGCTGGAGAAAATACCAATGACTTGTTTAGGCCCAGAGCCAGCGAAGAGGCAAATGTGCGACCTAAGGTCAGGGCAAAGAGAGAGAACTATTTTGAATCGGAATCTGAAGATGAGTTTTACAAAGAGTCGTGGTTTTTGCCTGGGGAAGAAGCTAGTAGGTTCAGGCGCCGAGACAAGGCAGAGTCTAATAACATCTTGAAAAACAGTAACCAAAATGATGGCAAAACCAGTGACAGGGTCAAACAAGAATCCAGCTTTGAGGAGGAAGTCATTATTGGATCTTGGTTCTGGGCAGAACAAGAGACTAGTTTGGAGGCTGGAGCTTCAGCAATCTGTGAATCTGAACCAGGGGCTGAAGAGGGAGCCATTGGTGGAGCTTTGTTTTGGAATGAAGAAAAGCCCAATTTGGGGGCTGTGGCCAGAGATGAGGTCAGGCCTGAGTCTGAAGAAGAGGCCATATTTGGGTCCTGGTTCTGGGATAGAGATGAGGCCTGCTTTGACCTAAATCCTAACCCTGTGTACAGGGACAAGAGCAGGTTCAGAGATGCAACTGAAGACATTGATGAATCGTCCAGGCCCAAAACCTGGGATGAGGTTACTTTTGAATTCAAACCTGTTCTTTTCTGTGGGCTTGGTTTCCCTTTTGAATTCCCCTTTAGAATATTTGAAGGGGATTCTGAAGATACTGAGGCAAAAGCCAAGGACGAGGAACTTGGTGCAGAAGGGGAAGAGCAGGAATCTGACCTTCCACCTGCTCTGCCTGAACCTGAGTTCCCATTTCAGTATGATCCCAATTACCGATCAGTCCAGGAGATTCGAGAGCACCTTAAGGCCAAGGAAAGTGCAGACCCTGAGAATTGGTCTTGCACATGCATACAGTGCGAGCTTAAAATTGGCTCTGCAGAGTTCGAGGAGCTCCTTTTGCTAATGGATAAAATTCGTGATCCTTTTATCCATGAAATCTCTAAAATTGCAATGGGTATGAGAACTGCTTCTCAGTTTACCCGCGATTTCATTCGAGATTCTGGTGTTGTCTCACTGATTGAAACCCTGATGAATTATCCTTCCTCCCGAGGTAGGACTAATTTTTTGGAAAATATGATCCACACGGCTCCAGCTTATCCAAATCTAAACATGATTGAGACCTTTATATGCCAAGTGTGTGAGGAAACCCTTGGATATGATTTGGATTCCCCTGAGCAGCTCACTGGAATGAGGATGCTTAGACACCTCACTATAACTACTGATTATCACACACTGATTGCCAATTACATGTCTGGGTTTCTCAACTTATTAAGCACAGGCAATGAAAGAACAAAGTTTCATGTTCTACAAATGCTGTTGAACTTGTCTAACAATCCTATGGTGGCAAAAAAACTATTCAGTGCCAATGCTCTGTCCATATTTGTGGGTCTCTTTAACGTAGAGGAAACAAATGATAACATTCAGATTATTATCAAAATGTTTCAGAATATCAGTAGTATTGTAAAAAGTGGAGCAATGTCTTTAATTGATGAAGATTTCTGTCTTGAACCACTTGTTTCTGCATTCCATGAGTTTGAAGAGCTAGCTAAACGGCTGCAAATCCAAATAGACGATCTGGATGACCCCGAGGAGGGACAGTAAATTCAGTGTGTTTAACCACCTGCTACTGCTCAGCCTTATGTTCCCAAAGAGCCCCAAATAGTGCTTTGGTGTTCACAGTCTGGTTCTGTGCTGTAACTTAGATTTCTAATGCTATTGTTAACTTGTCAAACTCTTGTGAGCTGGATCATTTGTGGATGCCAAAATATATCAGAACCGAAAACATATTTGTTGATATTTGTCTTACTGTTCAGATTGTGATATTTTTTAGAGTTGAGCTCCCAGTGAACCAAGTCATATGAGTAAGCTATCCTGCTCTTTGTTGTTTAAACATGTGGTTCTCTACTTGAGTCTGTGTTTTCAATAAAGTTCGATGTTGAAATTGGCATAAATGACCCTTCTTCACTTTAAAAAGCAGGTGCAGATCTATTATACGCATTCAAAATATAGATGATTAGTATTAGAACAAGCACATGCTTACTAGAAAATCCTATTTTAGGAAGGGAGATTACTGTGAACTTTGGTACTCGAGAAATGCTTCTAAGTTAGAAGTGGGACCTAGATAGTCCCTGAACAGTAAGCATCTTGGAAATGAGCCATAGTGATGTGAAGCAAAGTTTGTGTTGGGAAAATATGTTCCAATAACATGAGTGAAATAATTGAGAGGAGCGTAGAAAGTACATACAGGTGGGAAATTTGGCAAGGTAAGTGTTGAGGAACTGCATAAACCAAACTGAAATTAACAATTCGAAGTTTAGATTTTGCTTCAATAGTACCTAAAGGATGAATGAAAAAGACTCTAATTCAGTGGTTCTCAATCTGTGGGTTGCGACACCTTCAACAAACCTCTGTAGCCAAAACATACTTAGAATTCATAACAATAGCAAAATTATAGTTGTGAAGTAGCAACAGAAATAACTATGGTTAGAGGTCACCAGAACATGAGGATGTGTATTAAAGGGTCACAGCATTAGGAAGGTTGAGAACCACTGTGTCTAATTAAATGGGCTCAGAAGTAATATTTCTTGTATGATGATAGTTCAAGGAAAGTACTAACTATTGAAATAACTATGTATGGATTGATTTATTGACATGAAACAACATTAGTAATTCTATATATAGCAAACTAGAGAAGAATTTGGCATTATATTTGAAAAACTGTGTTTAAAATGTATGTATAAATAAAACGGCTGAGCTCATTGTGACTAAAGCAGCTTCATATAGCCCTTATCTGGATTAAAATATGCAAAGCTAAATTCTTAGAAACAGGCATTTAAGAAATACAAAATTTAGCAAAACATATGAAAGGTAATACGTTCCCATCCAGCGAATCTAGTTGTAGATGGGCATGCTGGGAAAAGGGTATGTTTGTATAAATGATTAACCTAAAATGTTAAGAAAAAGTTTAGTGATAAAGTGATTTAGAAAAGCTGTAAATGAATGAGACTTCAGAACCAAGATTACTAAGTTTGTATTGGGCTGTTGATGCTACAATAAATGAAATTTCTCATGTAATTATGACACTCAAACAATCATGACATTTCCTTTTTAGGTGGCAGCAAAGTTCTGCAGATAGACAGTGGTGGTGGTCGCTTATGTCACTGACTTGTACACTTTACATTGATTACAATGGTAAGTTTATGTTCTGGGGATTTCGCCATGACACAAAAGCCACAGACCGCAGCAAGCCTTCATCCACGAGTATTTCACAAGTCATGAGTAAACTCGGTTTGGATATAGATTCCAAATTGTGGGAAATAGAAAATATTTTGTTATTGTTAGACAGAAAAAAAATATTTTTCTTTGTTCATAAAATGCTATATATTTTCAAAGAGATAAAATTGCAACTCATGTTAATAAAATGGGAGCATGGTGCACAAATTTTACCAAGACGGTGGACAGCTGCTAAGATCAAAAAGAGTCAAAAGGGATAGATATAAATAGTACATATCAAACTTCAAATGCACAGGAAATCAAATGATAGGCTAATATTATAGAATTATAGAAAAGGTGATTACCATCTTACATGCAATACTTTGGAACATTTAATGTTATCCATATTATTGGACATTATATATCCATATTATTGGACATTATATCAATTACTGCTAAAGAATCGTCTCATGATCCAACTCCTCAGGGATCCTTTTTTTTAGACCACGCACTCTTAGAGAGCAAGACCCCTGTCTTCAGACTGGAAGCTTTGACCACTAATCCAGCTAGCCCTCCAGCTGTCTTGAAGGTAAGGAGGTTCAGGTTCTTTTGGTAACGAGCTCAGCTCCAGAGACAGGATATTATTCTGTTCCCCATGCTACAGATGCTCTGTAGTCTGGCTGCTCTGATGGGAAGTTGTATGATGAGTCTTTTGCTTGGACACAGATATATTTGTTTTCATAGAGAAGGAAAGGCATATACCTGGCAATTGGAATAGGTCAAACAAGGGGCAGGAGGTTAAGGTGGTTGAGCTGGTGTCCAAGGTGTTAGCTTGATAACTTTTTTTTTAATGTGTCCAGAATGAAAGTATTGATTGGATGGAATAATCCCTCAGTCAATCAAAGGTGTGTTTGTCAGGTCAGGAGCTCAAGAAGCTGGTACTAGTCATCCTGTAGGATGGATTCTTGCACAGAAACAGCAGTTGCTGCCGAAGTATGTAGGAGCTGAAAAATGGCATCCCTTGGGTGGTAGTGGTTCAGACTAGATGATAGTGCTTGAAATGCCACAGACTCTCTCACTCCTTCCTGTCTCCTGAATGCCATCTCATTCCTTCTCTAGGCTCCTACTCCAGGCTGTATCGGTATCTCCCCCTCCCCATTTCCCTCTCCCAGCTCCTTCCCTCCTCCCCACTGTGTGTGTGTGTGTGTGTGTGTGTGTGTGTGTGTGTGTGTGTGTATTGGGGAGTTTGTGACCTTACAGGTAGAATTGGCTTTAGGAACCCCGGGAAGGGAAATGATGCAGTAAACTGTGTTTATTATACTGCTACTCTGCTTCCAATGATGTGACCTCTGCTCTTATCCTGTATTTTCTGTCTGATTTCCTTAATGGCAGTATCAGCCACTGGAGATGTCCCAGGGCAGCTGAAAAAAATCGTGGAGAGGAAAAGAACAAACACGATAATTGCCTTTTCCTCAAGGGTTCCAACAGGCCAAGGATAGACTAGAGAAATTGCCACCCAGCAATATCTAGGCATGAAGATAGGAGACATAGAGTGAAAGAAAGAAAATCTGGGTGCTTTTATTCATAGAATTTCTCTTTGGGATTCGCTAATCTTTTTGGGGGGGGGGGAGTACAAGAACAACAGCTAGTTTAATATTTTATCAAAGTCTCATGTCTGCTTCATATTTTTTTAATTTTTTATATTATTATTACAAATTTTCGCCTCCTCCCCTCCTCCCATTCCCCTTCCCCCTCCCTCTCCAGTCCAAAAAGCAGTCAGGGTTCCCTGCCCTGTGGGAAGTCCAAGGTCCTCCCCCCTCCATCCAAGTCTAGAAAGGTGAACATCCAAACTGGTTAGGTTCCCACAAAGCCAGTTCATGCAGTAGGATCAAAACCCAGTGCCATTGTCCTTGGCTTCTCATCAGCCCTCATAGTCAGCCATGTTCAGAGAGTCAGGTTTTATCCCATGCTTTTTCAGTCACAGTCCAGCTGGCCTTGGTGAGCTCCCATTAGATCAGCCCCACTGTCTCAGTGGGTGGGTGCACCCCTCACGGTCCTGACTTCCTTGCTCATGTTCTCCTTCCTTCTGCTCCTCATTTGGACCTTGGGAGCTCAGTCCAGTGCTCCAATGTGGGTCTCTGTCTCTATCTCCATCCATCGCCAGATGAAGGTTCTATGGTGATATGTAAGATATTCATCAGTGTGGCTATAGGATAGGGCCAGTTCAGGCGCCCTCTCCTCAGCTGCTCAAGTCACAAGCTGGGGACATCTCTCTGGACACCTGGGAACCCCTCTAGAGCCCAGTCTCTTGCTAACCCTAAAATGGCTCCCTTAATTAAGATATATACTTCCCTGTTCCTATATCCACTCTTCCTCCATCCCAACCGTCCCATTCTCCCAAGCTCTCCCCATCCTCCTCTTATCACTTCTCTCTCCCCATCTCTCCTTACCCCCAGCTCACCCCTATCCCCAAGCTCTCAATTTTTGCCTGGAAATCTTGTATACTTCCAATATCCAGGAGGATGACTACATGTTTTTCTTTGGGTTCACCTTCCTATTTAGCTTCTCTAGATCATGAATTACAGGATCAATGTCCTTTATTTATGTCTAGAATCCACTTATGAGTGAGTACATACCATATTCATCTTTTTGGGTCTGGGTTACCTCACTCAGGATAGTGTTTTCTATTTCCATCCATTTGCATGCAAAATTCAAGATGTCGTTATTTTTTACCGCTGAGTAGTACTCTAATGCGTATATACTCCACACTTTCTTTATCCATTTTTCTATTGAGGGGCATCTAGGTTGTTTCCAGGTTCTGGCTATTACAAATAATGCTGCTATGAACATACTTGAACAAATACTTTTGTAGTATGATAGGGCATCTCTTGGGTATATTCCCAGGAGTGGTATTGCTGGATCCTGGAGTAGGTTGATCCCAAATTTCCTGAGAAAGCGCCACACTGATTTCCAAAGTGGTTGCACAATTTTGCTTTCTCACCAGCAATGGATGAGTGTACCCCTTTCTCCACATCCTCTCCAGCATAGGTTATCATTGGTGTTTTTTATTTTAGCCATTCTGACAGGTGTAAGATGGTATCTCAAAGTTGTTTTGATTTGCATTTCCCTGATCGCTAAGGAGGTTGAACATGACCTTAAGTGTCTTTTGGCCATTTGAACTTCTGTTGAGAATTCTCTGTTCAGTTCAGTACCCCATTTTTTAATTGGGTTAATTAGCAAAAGGTTAAGTCCTGCTCTCAGTCCCAGACAGCAGCTCCTTCCTATTTGGAAGTACATACTGCTGACTTTTGTGAGACTCCCTTTTTTGCTGTCTTGCATCTGAGATACTTGTAATTGGGGGGTCCTATAGGAATCATGTCATAGCTGCGCAGTAGTGGTGCACGCCTTTAAGCCCAGCACTTGGGAGGCAGAGGCAGAAAGATCTCCGTGAGTTCGAGGCCAGCCTGGTCTACAAGAGCTAGTTCTAGGACAGGTTCCAAAGCTACTGAGAAACCTTGACTCGAAAACCACCTGTCTTTTCTGAGTAGTCCCCCATATCCTCTGAGTCCCAAGTAAATGAAAACAGTTCCTCAGTTCACATGACAATAAATGTGTGCATGCTTTAAAAAAAAAAAGTTTTTTTCAGTTCTCTGAAAACACCATGTACATGGCCTACCATTTATTTCCAATACCGTGCTAATCAAAGCTAGTAAAGGTTCCACAGTTTAAGGACTGAGTGTCACAAGATTGTGTCCAGTGTAAGATGACAATCACACATGGGGGTATCTTCGGGTTACTAACCCTTCTCTCTGACTCGGCTTCTAATCTCTGCTTTCTACAACCATTTCATGTTCAGGAATTTGTTACAAATACTCAAAAGAAGCCATGGAAACCCTTTAATGTTACTAAATTAAATGTTATAATAAAATTTTCTAAAGTCTGTGAGTGACAGGGTAGATGAGGTGATACTCAGGACAGTGTCTATAAGGGTACAAGATACGGGAGGTGCTGTCTCCAATGAGTTGCAGTGCCCTACCATTTGAGTGCATTCACCAATCAGAAAATTTTCCAGTTTCTGTTAATTAAAATCATTAAATAAGTTCAGTTATATAGACTATTAATTAAATAACTGACCATTGGTGATTAACTTAATCTCCAATTCCCATTGTGTCCCTGAAAGTTATGAGATGTGGCTCTCTATGCATGTCCTGTATGGTTTCTTTGTTTTTGTTTTTGTTTGCTGGGGACCAGCCATAGCTTAATGCTACCTGGAAAGTTTAGTCACCGGCATCTCATCAGCATGCAAGTTTGAATATTTGAGAGATTCCAAGACTCTTTTACTCTGAGAATCTCATGTATTATGGAGCAAGGAACTGAGGCCAAATGTTAAGGCATGCCCATATTGTATTTGTTACTGAGGAAACTCTAAGAATTTATGAGTTCTGTGCTAGGAGCTGAGAATGAAAATTCCTGCCTCTTCTCTTATTTTTTGGCAGATAATAGTTGTTCATATTTATAGGGTACACTGTGATAATTCAGTACATGTATATAATGTGTCATGATGAAATCAGCATAGTTAACATTCCCATCTCCTGAAGCGTTTCATGTTACTCTCTGCCTTACTTTCAACAGAATTCTTGTAATATTAGTATTGGTTCAGTGTTGAGGTTTTCCTCTCAAGAGCTGTTTTCTCCTGTGTTCCTTTTAGAGAAGATTGCAGCATGGTGTGGCATAGTAAAGACCATCCGATCTCTATCCCTGGTTCTCGACACAGAGCGTTAAAAGCCTTGAAATTTCCTGACATATAAGAGTAATGAGGTGTCTTCATTGTGTGGTAGGATGTGAACAATCACAGAAGGAATTATCCTTTTTTTATTTTTTTATTAAAAATTTCTGCCTCCTCCCTGCCTTCCTTTTCCCTCCCCCATACTCCCACTCCCCGTTCCCCTCCCCCTCCCTCTCCTGTCAGAAGAACAATCAGGGTTCCCTGCCCTGTGGGCAGTCCAAGGTCCTCCCCGCTCCATCCTGGTCTAGGAAGGTGAGCATCCAAACAGACTAGGCTCCCACAAAGCCAGAACATGAAGTAGGATCAAAACCCAGTGCCATTGTCCTTGGCTTCTCATCAGCCCTCATTGTCAGCCACATTCAGAGAGTCCGGTTTGATCATATGCTCCATCAGTCCCAGTCCAGCTGGCCTTGGTGAGCTCAGCCCCACTGTCTCAGTAGGTGGGCACACCCCTCACGGTCCTGACTTCCTTGCTCATGTTCCCCCTCCTTCTGCTCCTCATTGGGACCTTGGGAGCTCAGTCCAGTGCTCCAATGTTGGTCTCTATCTCTATCTCCATCCATCGCCAGATGAAGGTTCTATGGTGGTATGCAAGATATTCATTAGTATGGCTATAGGATCGGGCCATTTCAGGCTCTCTCTCAGCTGCCCAAGGACGTAGCTGGGGACATCTTTCTGGACCCCTGAGAACCCTTGTAGAATCAAGACTCTTGCCAACCCTAAAATGGCTCCCTTAATTAAGATATATACTTCCTTGCTCCCATATCCACCCTTCCTTTATACCAATCATCCCATTCCCCCAA